CTAAAAAAGAAATTGCAATGGAAAAATAATATTGTGCTGGTCTTAAGTAAAGTGGCGTATGTTCAATCAAGCTAACACGCATTTTGCAAACTTATGAATTTGCCCATAATGCACAAATTGCAACTGACCGTCGAATGATGAAATCTTGATTTGGTTTAGTTGCTGCTGCTGTTGCTTCTGCGGGAAAGTGGCTTAATCTTCACAGTCTTCTATATATATATCCTCACTTTTTCCTTTCCCGGAAAAAATGGGTTTTTGATGGCAACCCGGCACGCAATCCTGGCTCCCAATGTTCACAATGACCCTCATATGGAGGAATTGATGGAAAGTTGACGAGAAGTCATCAAGTCATTAAACACAAGGGAATGAAATCTAAATTAACGGAGCGAGAAGATTAAGAAAAGCGTCCAAATCTCGAATGCAATATAGTGTGAGAAAATTTTCAAGTGCTTATTCAATTTCTTGGACTGCTTCAAAATTGGGTCTTTTGAATAACATTCGTTCATTGAATCTTTTCTTGGGTGTGAAAACTGAACTTCGGAAATATACACGGCACTTTTTTCAAATTTGTATTTTCTTCCTGCGTAAATTGTGATGAAAGAGATTTTCATAAGCCTGTGATTATGAAATGGTGTGGATTTTTCAGGTTTTCTTGTATATTTAAAATTTCAAAATCAACAGCAGACTGAACAGGAAAAGTATTTTGTTTTATTTTTTGACTCTCTGATAGGCTATGGGGCACAACTTCGAAAAAGAAAAATTGGGATCATGAAAACTATCATAAAAAATGCATTTGCCTGCACACAGCACACAACCCATTTTTCTGCCTTGATTTCGCAGAATAAAGGTGTTCATGGTACTTGAGTTAATTGCTGTAGTATTTGTTTTTCTTGATTGATTTCACTGGCAATTCTGGGCTTTTTAATCTGTACCTGTCTAATTAGAGCACATGACACTACTGTAATATCATTTGAACATGTTTCCAGGTAGAATTTCCCTACAATAATCTTGTCTTCAAAGAATTTATCTCTATTATTGTAATTTTTTTTTCAGTCTGATTTGATGCTTTTCACATGTTTTAGGGGTTCTCTACAATGCACTTCTCTCTACAATGTATTTTTCTGGTGCCTTGAATGTAGTTGTAAAGAGTCCACCTGTGATTATTGTCCTGCAACAAATTTAAAAAAAGAACTAGTGCATCACTGGTGACCTTGTGGTTTGAATGGATCAGTCTTCCAAATACAGTATGAAACTCCAATAATTTCTATTTTTTATTTTTGCCAGAAATGAAGTTGTGCTGAAATACAACCATGGAAGATTATTATGCAGGAAAGGCAAACTTTTTCATTTCTTGTTGAGGGTTTTCCCTCATATTTCTAAAGTAAAGATGGACTTATCTACAGCAATATTCTCTGTAGAAAAAATTATTTTTGTTCCCAAAGGATTCTCTGTCCATCTTATTTTATGAATTCTCTATGACAAACTTCTTTCTGCAGCAAATTTGTTATGGTCCCTTGCATTCCATTGTAGAGAGAGTCCACCTCTATTCAAACTTTAACTTGAGAAAAAGTGGCTGTATTTTTGGTGACCTTGTGGTTTGCACTGAGTCTTCCAAATTTTCGAACCCAGCAAATTCTCTTTTTTCTTTTTACCCAGAATGAATTTGTGCTGAAATGCACTCAGGAAGATTATCATGCTGGAAATGCGACCTTATTTCATTTCCTGTTGAGGGTTTTCCCTCATATTTTTTGAGTAAAGTTGGACTTGTCTGCAGCAATATTCTCTGTAGAAAAAATTATTTTTTGTTCCAAAAGTATTCTTTGTCCATCCTATTATATGAATTCTCAATGACAAAATTCCTTCTGCAGCAAATTAATTTTCTGGTCCCATGCATTCCATTGTAGAGAGTCCAGCTGGATTCAAATTCCCACTTTAAAATAGTGGCTGCATTGTTGGTAACCTTGTGGTTTGCACTGAGTCTTCCAAATTTGCAAACCCAGCAAATTGTCTCTCTCTCTCTCTCTCTCTCTCTCTCTCTTTTTTTTTTACCCAGAACGAATTTGTGCTGAAATACACCCATGGAATATTATTATGCAGGAAATGCAAACTTTTTTCATTTCCTGTTTGGGGTTTCCCCTCATATTTTTTGAGTAAAGATGGACTTGACTGCATCAATATTCTCTGTAGAACAAATTAATTTTTTGTTCCCAAAGGATTCTCTGCCCAACCTATTATATGAATTCTCAATGACAAAATTCTTTCTGCAGCAAATTAATTTTCTGGTCCCATGCATTCCATTGTAGAGAGTCCACCTGGATTCGAATTCCAACTTTGAAAAAGTGGCTGTATAGTTGGTAACCTTGTGGTTTGCACTGAGTCTTCCAAATTTGCAAACCCAGCAAATTATCTCTCTCTCTTTTTTTTTTTTCTACCCAGAACGAATTTGTGCTGAAATGCACCCAGCAGGAAGATTATTATGCTAGAAATGCGACCTTATTTCATTTCCTGCTGGGGGTTTTCCGTCATATTTTTTTTTGGCGGGTTATTATATATTTATTGTATTTTTTGCTCTATCCAGAGAAGCCACCTTGGCGTCCGTCGGCTGGCGGTGAAAAATGACAGCCCGAGGAGTGGAAACGTCTGGGCAGCGTTTTTCCACGCGCTGTCCCTAAAAACCGGCGCGCGAAAGTTGGTGAAAAATGCTTGTGTGAACCGCGTTTAATCCACGCCTGGGCACATCATTTGTTTTCCGTCGTCCTCCTGGGCCAGGGGCTGTCCCGAAAAAAAGGAAAGAAGAGCTTTGCCTTGCGTTTCATTCCCCCCATCACAGAGAGGAGAAAAAAAAGAAGACTGGATGGTTTTTTGAGTCTGGCTCCAGGAACTGTCCTGGGTGGACAAGGCTGTGATGGTGTGGGCCCTGGACAAAAGTTGCCTTGGAGAATGGATTTTTGTTGTTGCTAAGATGGACCAGGTTTTGGATGAGGAATTGATGAAGGAAGCATCGGATTTTTTTAAGTGTGAAGCAAAAATTGAAACATGTGTTTTTCAGGTTATGTTGAATGAATGAACAGAACACTTTATTTGCCACTTTTCAGCGTTCACAAGGCACAACCAAGACTCCAGTTATGTTCAATTCAGACACATAGGATATTTATCTCAAGCCTCATGTAGCTTAAATATCTGGATGTATTTTGTCTATTATTTTCTTGACACAGGAAAGAGAAAAGCAATAAAAAAGTAGCTCAACGTTTTTTGAAAGGAGGTGAAAGATTGTTTGGGCAAATGAACCCCTGCCTCCAAGATTACCATCCTTTCAATTACTTTAAGAAGCAATTTAACCCTTGCATGGTGGTGGAGGGTTCCTGGCTGTCCTGCAGCAAAGTTGGGATTATTTTGGGGCACAGGGGCATTTCAGAAATTCTTCCAGGTTGCCAAGGCCTTAGTCAGGAGTTCAGAAAATCCCATTATCTCAAGAGATCCTGAATGTGAATCCTAAGCTGGGAATGCATGAAAAAATTCCACCCAGGAAGGAATTTTCATTATTTTTGAGCCAAAATGCTTTGCAGGATTATAAGAAAAATATTGGACTTTTTCCTGACTTACAACTTGCCACCCTCATGGGGACAAAATTTTGCAATAATATCCCAACTTTACTGCACAAAGGTTAAGGCCAAGAGTATCACCATTTAAAATTTCCTGCAATTTTTTCATGCTTTCAATACAAGAATGCTGGTTTCCCTGACTCAAAACCTCTAAATTCACTTTTATGAGGGGTTTGGATGCAGGAGTTTTGGTTGTGCCTTGTGAACGCTGAAAAGCGGCAAATAAAGTTTTCTGTTCATTCATTCATTCATATCAGCAACAGCTTTCAATAATTTTCCACGTCAAAACACTAGACATCTTTTATCCTCCCAGATGGCAAAAAAATCATGTTGTAAAAAAGGTTCCAGGAAGTTGTTACTGAAAAAGACGGATTCTATTTGCTTCTGGAAACCTAGCTTTAAATTGTATCTGCATTGATGTTGAGAGCAGGAACTGAGTTCACACAATTGAGTTGACAGGGAGGATAATTGCAGGAGTGAAATGCATATGGATATTTTCTTTGCGGTTAATTAACTTTAAACATCCATGGCAGCTGAAGTCTTCAAATCAGAAATAATTAAATTATTGCTGGCTGCATGATGATTTTGTCATTTTTGCTGTTTTTCAGCTGTGATTTCACGGGAGACCACCATTTATTAAAAATACTTTTGCGGCAAGCCCGAAATAAGATAAAAACCCTCATTTGATTTAGACCTGCGAATACCTGCTATCCTTGAGATGTGGCTTGCAGCCAGTTATTCTGAGCTGCACACCACTGCACTTCGCTCTATAGTACAGTACAGTACTGTACATTACACCGGTACCGCATTGGAAGGCGAACACTTCGGCTGACTTAAATGGTACATAGGTGCTACATGCTTGCAGAAACGCAATAGCACAATAAGTTGCATAAATTGCAGATGCTTTCGAGTTTCAAGTGTCCCCATGTTGAATCTTCTGGAAGTTTGTGTGTCCGCATGTCGGGGTCTCGCCGTAGTTGGATATGTTTCAGATAAGATACTACCGTTCTTTACACACTTACATTGATAAGTTAATATACTTACAGGGCCAATGGACATCTCAGTGGCAGTTCGTCCATCTGAAGCACCACTGCACACAAACAAATTAACCACATCCTACACTCACTTCGCACTAGCGATTCAGTTCCATCAAATTATTTTGCGGATCACCCTAAAAAAGCGTTCCACATTTGCGTCAACTCGCACATGCAGAAAATGGAAGAAAACCTTTGATTACTCTCCGAGTCGTCAGCCAAATCGCCGAGATTCCGAAGTGTGCTGTTGCTTTCAGAAATCCCTCTCTCTCTCGCTCTTTGGAACACAAGACTTTCGTATAAAATAAAATAAAAGAGCAAAAACACTTGCCAGAGAATTTGAAGAAATTGAAAGAAACAGACATAAGGCCACTTGGTCGATATTTAATTTCAAAGACATCGGTGTTCCTCCAGTGACGCAACTTCGCTTCGCAGACGGGACACTGTTTTCTTAATTTTTTTTTGGACAATTAGCACGAAAAACAAACTAACTCCCGCATGAGTTACGTATTACCCGAGCGCTTGATTTCGCTAGACCACAAAGCAAAATGTCAAACCACAGGGACGTGCAAACTTTGCTCCCGCGCGTTCGATTCAAAATACCCACATAGAGGTCACGATTACCAAGCCACAGATCCGCTCGAGGAAAAGATGGACATCGGAAAGAAAACTGCCCGCAAAATAATTAACAAGATTGATCTTCAATAACAGCTTTCGCCTACAAAATCCATCACCATTATTCAGCCAGGATCTCACAACAAAAGCCGGCTGACACATTTCGTCTTTGAAAACAAGGCAGTTTCAATCGGTCTCGTCGGCACGCGCCTTTTTCTCGGGTTTTCTCCCGTCGAAATAAATCGTTAGGCCGACTTCTTTCTTCGCTGTGTACGGAGTGGGTGCTGCTGACGCGCTTTGCATTTCTCGCACGCCACTCCTGTTGCCCACCAAGTTTCTCACCAGATCCTCTTGATCCATCTGCTTCATTTCTTCGTCCGTAGGAGTCTTCTCCTTCTCCCTCGAATCCCTGGAACGTACCACGAGACACATTGATCAAAGTAATACAGATCAACAAAAGAAAAGAAAAGGAATGAGCTCCACGAGCAATTTCCTAATTACCCACATGCCTCACGAAGCAACAAAAAAAAACTGGAAAAGAAAGGAATTCAGCAAACAATTGCGGAATAACAGGGCACAAAGGCTGGATCAACAGTTTTGACCATTTTACACTCTACAACTGCGGTGCACTACGCGGACGGAATATTCTGTTACGTTAGATTTGTATTCCTCTCGACGATTGCAAATTGACTCTGGAATCCGAATATCAAAAGATAATTTCTTCACTGGTGGGGCAATCGTACCATAAAAAAGGGTAAGATATTATTAGTTTCATCTGATTATCTGCCGTATCTGCGGGGATTACAGAACCTGAAAAAAATATTCAAACTTCAAGTACAGTGTACATAAATAACAAACAGAATCACATCTTCACAAGTGCGGATCTGTTCGTAATTTTCGTTCATGGGTAGTATTAGTTAAATAGCCAGAAAGGCTGTCTGTGCCAGTCCAACAACAGCCGCAAAGTAAGCCACAGTGAACTACGAAGTAAATTCATTCGCTCAGACGACAGCTAATGGCAGAAAATTCAAGGAAGTCGCAAGTCGGGGCTAAATTCAAATGCAGTATAGGAAATGGAGAATAATTTGGCTTCGAGAATTAATCTCCCAGCGGTGGGAAAAAATTCGAATACGAAGCTCGATTCCCCAAAAACAAGTATTTCCTGACAACTGAATTTTGAGCAGAACTCCGATTGCTTGGTTTCAAGAATAAAAAGGCAATGGAGAACAACAAACAGCATGCTCACAGTAGATAATAACTTATTTCTTGAATTGAATCTAAAAAAAATAAAAAGCTCATTTGAATGATCTTGAAGGCACAGGCAAAACCCACGTTCTTCATGCACGCCATTCTTCATCTATTGATCTTTCCAAAATTTCAACAAAGCATCACGAAGACCTCAAAAAAACTCTTGAAAATTTTTAAACCCTTTTCAGCTGACAATCAAACGTCAACATGGACAGCAAGCGAAACACGAGACGAATCACAGAATGAACGCGTACAAAGCTCGGGTTTAAATTTCCCTCATACAAAAAATAAAAATATACTGTCGAGAAAAAAGTTCTAGACTGACCTAAAATATGTCACGTCTCCCCATCTCAACACGGTACCGGTAATCGTTGGCTCTCCGCTTTCCGACAGCCGAAACCACTCGATGTCTCCCGACGGGTACCTCTCGCAAAAGAGACACGTGAAAATGAGCGTCGGTCTCGCCATCTCCAAAAATTCAACCGGGATGCTGAACATTTCCGAAATCTTGAAGGAAGGAAATACGATAGAAAACATTTAAAAAACAGTCAGCACGCAGTCGATGCGACATCCACAACAAAATTTCACGAATAAATACAGTAAACCCTTCCTTAGAACAAATACCATTGCAACACATTTTTCAACATAAACTTTTTCTCGAGCCCTGGCAGAAAGCCCATAGCGTACATGTTGAAAAAATGTCATTACAGTATACCAAACTTCCGGATTCCATTACTGTAAAATAAATTTATTTGAGGAATGTTCAGCAGATTTCCAACACAGAAATTTTCTGATTACGGCAGGCACAGTCTGAAATTGGCTGGTTCTTGTAGCAAGATCAATGACAAATATGCTTCCAAAGTGGTTCCGTACATAATCATATCGGAATGAAGAGAATGGTTCATTAGATGGAACTCATGATTGAAGCTAACTCAGTTTTTCAAACAATGATGAAAAAAATTGAGAACACCAGAAAAGCAAGATTCAATTGACAAAAGACAGGTCTGATGTGAACGTTTCTCCAATCATTAATTTTGAAAATCTCTTCATAAAGATTTATCCAGGATAACACATTCTATCGGAAGTCCCCATAGGTTTGTTGTAACGGGATTTTACTGTTTATTCATCAGATTCAACATCTAAAAAGAAACGCGTGGAAATAGCTTGAGCAACCTTTTTTGCAACTGAAGCTTCATTCACGACTCCACTCAAGGAGTATTCCACGAGAGGTGCGAACCGGAATCCAGCAGGACGCCATGGTCGGAGGTAAGCCACGAAATCCATCGGCGATTTCACCATTTCTGGTTCATTGAGAATCTCAAAACACAATTCCCAGTTCGCGTGAAGAAGAACGTATGTGGGCGTGTTGATTTCACCGGTTTCGTCCGACGACGCATCGATGAAAATTTGATCATTAAAGAGCACCGGCCCGGGTTTCATCCACTGCTTGATCCTTAACCGCACCCTGATGAGCAGATTAAATTTAGAACTCACTCAGAGACAGTAACTCAAGAAAACGCGCGGAATTTAGTCAGCAAATTTCGAAGTACAGTTGAACCTCCCTCAGTCGAATACCTACATATGTAGAAATTCCTTTTTCACTTTATTGTCGGAATTCCCTTAGAAACAATGCATCAAAAGCCACTTTAACTCAAAGGCTTTCCCCATCAAATCTCCATAATTCGACTTTTATGGAGGCCTTTTGGCAATAAACTTGTGAGCTGTGACACAGGAAAGAGAAAAGCAATAATAAAAATGTAACTTGATGCATTTTGTAAGGAAGTGAAAGACTAATTGGGCAGATTTAACTTTCACCTCCAAGTTCCGCAACTGCCAACTCATTCACAAAGCAATTTAATGCCCAGAATATCGCCAATTACAATTTCCTAAAATTCGACTTTCTTCCCCCTAACAAAAGAGCTAGTTTCCCTAACTGGAAACCTCGCTAGCTCGAATTGTTTTGCTGATTCCCGACGACTAAATACAGTACGACTTCAAGTGGTACAGTATTAATAAATATCAACAAAATCGGGATCAAATCTACTACAGTCATGTATTCCGTAGAGCGAGAGATTATTCATCCAACCAACATGGTTTTTCTTAAATTCGAGCAAATTTTCTATCCGTGTATACTTTTCAACACCACGTAAGAGAATTCCATCGTAGAAACGGTAGAACACACAGGAAATCAGGTACAGTAGTTTCAATTGGCCGCATTTAATTGAAGAAACCCTTGAGTTGGCATTTTTCCAAAACACTGAAAGAAAGCGAAATTAATACTTCCAGGTCCTTTTTTTCCTTGATTACCAAGAGAAGTTTCAAATTGGTCTTACTTACTCGTGAACCTCGGAAAATACAGTACTTCATCCCAATAGCAAAAAACCAAGACAGAATTGGTCGCGAACCAGATCATCGACACATACAGCACTGTAATTCCGATTCAACCTACAAAAATGCTTGTTCCCCTCACTCAAAACTCGCTTTTCTACAATTTGATCCTGGTCCCTCAAAGTTCGACTGTACGATGTTACGCTACCAGACTTGTTTTTTATTCGAAGGGAATCAATGAGAAAAGCACGTCAAACTCACTCTTCAATACTGACGGGGCGTCTCACATACTGAATAATCTCTGGGAGAAGCTGCTTCTTGACAGCACCAACGGACTGACCCAACTGGATTACCCATTCATCACACACGAGTTCTGAATGCTGCAAAAATAAATAAATAACTCATTAAAGTGAACGAGTTAGGGCACAATCCCTAAAAAAAAAAAAATGCATCGTCACACCAGACACGAACCTTGTCATGAGGAGCAAACTTGCTGTGGTAAACGTTGTCCTTTTGGGAATCGAGGACAGGCTTGAACATGAACACTCGACCCACACGATCATGAGGCCCGATTTCGCGCGTGAGTTTCACAGAAAGCGTTTCGTCGGGATTGCACGGCAATTGCTCCGCGTCACGCATCTCGCAAGAAAGAGAGTCGTGGGACGACGAGAAGTTCCTCATCACATGAATCAGATTCGGCGGCACATTGTTCAGATATGGCGACAGTGCCCTGCGAAATCCGTCGACGCTGATGCGCCTATCGACGTCAACCAGAACTGGGGAAAGAATCAGAAATGAGTCCTCATTCATACTTCATTTCTCAACAGTGGGATGGAACCAACGTACAATATTTAAATGAAATTCATCCCATTCAACAAGAAAAATTTGCAACAACAACAGAAACTTGATAAAGTCCGCTACTAAGGTGGAGTATAATGATCCTGATGAGCATCAGCATGCGAAATGAAGATCTAATTATAATCCAAATAATACCCTTGAAATGAAGCCCTCATGAGTTCACATATGATTCATTGAAAATTGACTGTTGGTGGACACCATATTTTATGAGATAAACCATCAAGGACAAAGCTAAACAAAATCGAATTCAACAGTACAATACTGTATCTGCTAAGACTAAGAGACCCGGACAAATTTTGGCCTTTTCCGTAGAATTTGACTGAATACCGTGAGCGCCATACGTAATTGGGCGTTATTTTATGTACTGTAATTTAGGTTATTGGGGTATTTTCAGCCATTTTGCATTTTTCGTAAAATATTTCCATTTTATTCTAGGATACTATACACTACACTTCAACAGTACTTCGAGAAGTCCAACAATTCTCCAAACCACATGCCTTGATTTAAAGTTGCACTCGGGGTTTTTAAAACGTGATAGCATCATTTTCTCATTTGCTTCGAATCGGTGATCTGGCATCTTGCAAATGCTTCCCGCTTGGTGCACAGAAAACATCGAATGATGCGATGATTACAAATGGAAATTAGATTACTTTCGAAGTGTACAGTACTCATTTTTAAAATTGGGAAGGGACTTCGAAAACGGATGGGATGGATCAATTACCTTGAATTAGTACTGTATATCAGAATGGAAACATACGCACAGTACAAGGGTTCTAACAAAAGTTCTCGGAGTAGCAATGAAAATGGCCTACAGTTGAGCTGAAAAAAATTTTTTCTTTAGGGAAAACATTATTTAGCACACAAAAAAATATCAGCCCTTTTTGACAAATTTTTTGCAAATTTTCATAATTTACCCTGGCAGAATTTTGCTCTCCACTCAAAAGATGAGGCGCCCTTTTTTTGTTGTAGCCCAGCTTTCCCCTCAGAATTTTTGATATCAACTTGGCATTCTTTGTAAGGGTTGCCTCCAGGTCATCCAAGGCAATTCCTCCACTTTCATCAACAGCCGCCTACACAGCCGGCACATTGGCTGCCACTTTGGTGGCTGTGAAGGCGGCTGTTGATGAAAATGGAGGAATTGCCTTGGATGACCTGAACGCAACCCTTACAAAGAATGCCAAGTTGATATCAAAAATTCTGAGGGGAAAGCTGGGCTACAACAAAAAAGGGCGCCTCATCTTTTGAGTGGAGAGCAAAACTCTGCCAGGGTAAATTATGAAAAAAATTCGTCAAAAAGGGCTGATATTTTTTTGTGTGCCAAAGAATGTTTTCCCTAAATAAAAAAAATTGTTTCAGCTCAACTGTAGGCCATTTTATTGCTACTCCGAGAACTTTTGTTAGAACCCTCGTATGTATCCATTCTGAAATCTAAGGAACCGAAGTCATTTTTCATTCCATGTCAAATAATTTTTCGTATGTGTTCTTTTTCGAAGTTACTAATGAAACGGAGAAAAGACCTAAATTCGTTCCAAGAATTCCAAGTATCCTGCGATTCACCAACTTTCATCGCTCGCAGATGAAACTTCAGGGTGAGCAAATTTCCTCTTCTCCTTCATTTGTAACAGTACAAAACCTCCGTATTACAAACTGTTTAGAACATATTAAACTGAAAATTATTCAAAAAACGTTTATTGTCAACTCTGTAGATCATCAGGAGTAACTTCGAAAGATTATTAAATTTTTGACAATGCTATGCCACTTTTGGCTGTCATCTTTCCAAAAATTTAGTCAGGGTTTTTAATCTTCAACAGGTGAATCCATAGTGTGCTCTATTTCATCAGAGATCACATTTTTATGATTTTTTGAACCCTTCAATCACAAATATCACCGAAGGAAGAATTTCTTTTTGAGAAATTCCGAAGCCCTGCAACAGATGTAAAATATGCGTTTGTGTCAAAATAATAGTTTCTCTAATTTCTGGGATATTTGGGACTGATGAATGTCCTTTCAGGAAAATCAACAAAATGCGTATCTTCTCCTGCAGGGAATCCTTTCATCACACCAACTCAAAATTGGATGATTCGTTTCCTGTACTTTTCTGGACCAGGAAGCATTTATGTTCATAAATCAACAATAATCAGCTAAAAATTGATTGGCATACTATGTTTACTCAAGAACCACGCGCACACCGAAAAATGAGAGGAAAAAAGGAGGGTGCGCGTTGCAGGTGGGTATAAAATAAAATAAAAATGCATAGGTTTAGGTGCGAGTCATATTTGATCCTAATGGAAAATTTCAGACCGACTTCAACAGGAAAGTTTTTTTAATTAAAATTATTTCATTCTGGTTCAATTCTTGGCATTATTCTAGTTCTAATATTTTTGAAATACAATACTGTATTGAATTTGTCAATTTTTCAGTCACTTAAAATTGGGTGGGCATCTTACTAAGGCGATATGATTTCATCAAAATTTCAGGTTGAAAAATCTCGTTGTGCGTCTCACTTGAGGGTGTGTGGTACTCAAGTAAATACAGTATGGCCTTTCGCTCAATTCATACGGACACTTTTTGGACATTCGATTGAATCATTTGAGTGCATTCAGAATAAGTTGGGTCACCTTCGTTCAAAAACTCTTGCATAGACTGCTTCAGCTTCACACCAAATGGCTGATGATCGTAAAAGTAATTCTAGAAGGTCTGGTGGTCCATGCACCCAAAAATGTTGGGAACACTCATCTGTGCAGTATTGCCACACGTTCTCAATAACGCGTGAAGAATTTTAAAATTTTAGTAGGCATGGAAATCGAGACGACTTCTTTGCTTTTAGCAGCTGTAGCACATCCTGAACTGGATTGACCACCGGAACTTTTGATGGAGATATGAAGCAATCAGACTCACTGAGATCGCCTTGCAATTCGACTTTAATATGCTTGATAATTTCATCATCTTTGGCCCAAATCGCCTCGTCGAATTCCTTCCGCCCCACGGCCCCAATTTCAGATCCAAGGCCAGAATTCGACTTTTGCTCGTAACTCATCTATGGGGGGAAAAAAACGGGATACTACATGATGATGAGTACTTTTTTTTGGAATTTGAGAAAACGAAGGAATAGCCTTTAAACTCACCTTCTTTCCAGCTAGTGGAGGCAACTGCTCCGAACCACACCGACTGTTATCCGGAGCGTTCCTTCCATCTCCCATTTCCAGGTAACCACGGTCGTCCCACTTCTCAGCGGTCGTGCGATCCGTTTCAAGCGGATCTTCTTCCGGTGAAGAGTGTATGTCAAACATTGCGTTTTGAGGAGAATTACAAGGCGAGCCCTGATCCGACCCGGGACACCCTTTGGTGGATTCAGCGTCATTTTCAACCTCGCCAATCATCGTTCTGTAGAGTAGTTGAAGATTTTTCATAATACAGATATCCCTTTTACTCAAGTACCACCCACACAGTTTTCTTTTTCCAATTTACGAGGAAAAAAGGTAAGTGAGTTTAAAATTTTGAAAAAGTTTCAGAAATTTAGGTGCGTGACCCCTAGCCACAAAAAAGTATCGATGTGGCCCTTGTCCAGATCTGAGTTGGGCAGCAATGGTGTCGAATGTATTAAACCAACCTTTCACTATCAGTCAAACTAGAACCCTCGCTGTGGTCGCCACCTGGTAACTGATATCCAGGGCCCAGTAAATCAGCATTGCCGACAGGTAACTGGAATCCAGGGCCCACTGCACGATCATCAGATTCGCCACGAGGAAGCTGGAAGCCAGAGCCCAGTAAATCAGGGACCAACTTGCCACCAGGTAACAGGAAATCTTGGCCCATGAAGTCAGAGCCTATTAAACATTCATCCGATTCGCCACGAGGCAGCTGGAAGCCAGAGCCCAGTACAGAAGTGCCCCATTCACCATGAGGAAACTGCAAGCCAGGGCCCAGTGAGCCAGCATCTAGTTGCCAAGGTCTGGGAGTCTCGCCAACATCAACGCTTATGCTCGTCAACTGGTTGGATTCCTCGGACTCCTCGTCCATTGCTTCCTTACTAGGTGTCGGACGTAATTTTTTCCAATGCGCGGAACACGGTGGAATCACAGGAGGTTCTTGGGGCAAGGGTTTTCCATCCGGTCCGAGACCCAGACGATTCAACAGCGCTGTGGAAGAAAATCACGTCGTCAGACGTTGCATTAAAATTCGTTGTTCTGTTTTAAGAAACACCGCGAAGACAAAAAGTGAATCGAAAAAATTGCAGCTCAAATCTTTTTTTTTCCTGGATAACAAAATCACAAGATTAGGCGTGGTCAAGTGAATTTTCGGAATTCGTTGCGAATATTTGGCATTCTCCAGGACAAACCCTGCAATGTCATACGTAGGTTAGTACCATGCACCCTCGAATAAGACACAAACCAAGATTTTCAGCCTAAAATGTTGATAAAATCACATCCTCGAGCATGATGCGCACCCCATTTTTTTACAGACTGAAAATAATGTACAGTATTTTTTTTAAATGAGACACACCACAATTTGACTTTGGACATGAATAAATCCTGAATTCAATTAATTTTCTCTTATTGTACAGTATTTCCATTTAAAAAAAGTTTCAATTGATCCAAAATTTCCCAATGAACTTGCGTATGACGCACATCTTAACATGTAAGTTTTTATGAAAATTGCATACCTGCATAAATAACGCAACCTCCTTGTTTCCCCTCAGTTTTGAGAAAAAAAGTGCACGTGGTACTCAAGTAAATATTATTAATTTCAACAATCAAGATAAAATCTACTACAGATGAACTCCCTACAACAATCTTGTCTACAACGATGTTCGCTGTACAATTTTGGTTTGGTCCCATAGGGTCTCTAAAATCAAATTTTCTCTAAAACGCTTTTTCTTGAATTTCTTTGCAGAGGAAGTTCACTGTATTCTGTAGAGCAGGCGATCCCTTCTCCAACCAGTACGGATTTTTTTTTTATTCGGGTACATTTTCTACGCATGTATATTTTTCAACACCATGCAAGAGAATTTCATTGTACAACACACAGGAAACCTGGCACAGTACAGTAGCTTCAACTTGCTGGATTTAATTTAAGAAATCCTTGAAGCGGCAATTCTCTTCGTCATAAAAAAAAAAAGAACTTAACGCTTTCAGGTCTTTTCTGGACGACCAAAAGAAGTTTAAAATTGGTAACGGTTACGCAAAACTAAGATATAATTGGTCTAAATCCAGATCATCGGCACAAACTGATTGATCCTACTCACCGTGGCTTATTACTGGCACTCTCACTTTCAGTCTAATAGAATTGGATATGCGAACCAAGTGCTTGTACAGCTCAGTTTTTTCAAAAGGCCCACATGACGGAGAATCGATTTCCATTGCGGACGAAACTTGAGCGAAAACCTAGAAACAAATTTCGGAATTCAAATTTACAAGAAAGCTGTCATACAGCCTTGCAAAATAAATTCAAAGACTAATGAGAGGTTTCGAACTCACTGAAGATTTCCGCGAAAAGCCATGTTCGAGCAGAGTTGAGGAATCATTTGAAACTTCCTTCAAGTCCCCACTGGCAGTTGTCAACACGAGAGAAACAGAGTCAGTGTCAACAGAATTTTCTGAAGAATCACTGATACGTTGACGGGTTCGGAGTATCCTCGATTTTAAGTCACCGACAGTCATCGATAACGATCCTCGGATGCGAAAAGGTTCCCTACGCTCGGAAGCGACGGCATCAACCCAATCCACCCAGATGGAAGTGCCTACAACAGACATTACATCCACACGGTTATCCTCGATCTCAATCAAGAAGAAAGACATGAATATTTCTAGCCCTTAATCCTAATCAGACTTGTTTCCACAAAACAAACGATCAAGTTCCACGGAGAACGATTTCAAGTATTTGATGGAAAAGAAGGGCTATAAAATCGAAAAGTTGGCCTTCAAGCGGTACGATAGTTTCCAACAAACATTCACTGAATTTTCAAAGTCCTCACTCTTGATATTTATCCCACAATCTGCATTTGCCTGATCTTTCAAGATTCTACCATGAGTTTTATTCCGCGTTTGCACCGCGAAAAAAAAAGCTGTCAGAATCAACGATTAGTTGATGTCAAAAAAGTCATGAATGCATGTGAATTCACAAAGAGTTTCAAACCTCGAACAGTTCGGCTCATTTCAAGCATCTCTCAGAGTCTAATACGATTCAAGTTTGATTTCAAGAACCGGTAACATAGCCAAAAAAACTGAACTTACTGATATTCGAAAGATAAATCAACACTTTTAACATTCCACTTCAAGTAAATCATCGGTCTAACACAAATTTTAAACGTTGGTCGATATGAAAAATTTTCTGCGAAAAAATCACAACTCACCATCAGCACGAACCGGAACAAATTCATCACGAGGATCGCGACATTCCAAGTAGAACACATTTCGAGTCGAATTACGAATTCCATTCTTTTCCAGTACTTCACCAACAGCCTTCCCCCGTAATTCCTCCTTATCGAAGGAAAAATTCACAACATCATCGTCTTCCACGTACTCAGTCAAACGCCAGCAATTACGCGGGACACTGTCACAGCCCAACAACATCTGCGAATAGAAATAGGAATGATCAATTGATCGTGTAATAAAAAAGAACATCTACAAAAAAATTTGCTTCGCAAAACAGAGGGAATTTTCAATCTACAAGAGAAGAACATCTTAGACATTTAAAAAAACAGTTCCGAAGGACGCCCGTGTTTCCAACGAAAACTTCATGAAAACAGCAACGCCTCGAAACGAGTACAGTAGAACCTATTCAAGTCGAACTTTTCGGGACCAGAAAAAAAATCGAGCTAGGGAGGTTTCGAGTTGGGTATACAAGCATTTTTCTTGGGGGGGGGGGGGGGGGGGGAAAAAAAAAAATGAAAAATAAAATGGGGGGGGGGGGGGGGGGGGGGGGGGGGGGGGGGGGTAAGAAAAAAGAGTTACAGGACAGGATATTGCAATTTGTGATGTCCTGGGCCTTAAATTGCTTCTCGAATGAGTTTACAGGATGCTGAAATTGGATAACAAGGGTTCATTCGCCCAATAATTAATATCTTACTTATTTTCGAAGTAAATCAAGTTACATTTTTATTCCGTTCATCTTTCCTACGTAAATAAAGTAATCAACACAAGGCCTCCAAAAAATTCGAGTTAAGGAGGCTTCTAATGCATTGATTTCAAGGGAATTCGGAGAGAAACATTTAAAAAAAAAGTCGACACAGGGTGGCATTTGACTTGAGGTTTGAGTTATCGAGTTTCGAAAAACATCAAAAAAATTGTTCACGTGATATCACGGGAAAATTAACAATCCCTCACCTCATATGCCTGATCCTCGATTTCGAACAACCGTTCATCTCGTTCACACTTGAACACGATGGTTTTCCGTTCACCATTATCAACGCGGTGATAGTAGATCTTCAGTTTCATTTTCAAACGATCCAGTTCTTTTTCACGATCTTCCTGAGCTTCCTGCGCTCGGATAACTTCTTGTAAGGCCTGATGGAAGCTCTCGAGTTAGTCACATGAAAGGACCGATTTTTGCTGAACTTACACAGATATGCGGCGGAAGATCAGACGAATTGAGGAACCGCACATTCTTTTGAGGGTCCACGCGCCGGTACATGAGCATGTACGCATTTGTATTTGATCCTCCCGACACGTATCCTTGTAAGAAGTCTTCGGGAACTCCGCCGAACATTCGCTTCACGTCATCAAACGAAGTCTGACATTCGTCGTGGATTAGAATTCACGGAGGCCATTAATTTACTTCATGAATTCACGACACAACTTCATGAAAACACGTACCTCTGATACATGAGTGTCATTGAAGCAATACCAAACAGATGTATCCAAATTCTTGATCATTGCATAGTAATGCCCTCCATTCGCCGAACCCGAGTGAATCATGACGGAGAATAGTTCGTATTTGTGGGATTTTTCATCACAGGTGTGCTATTACATCACAGAACCAGGGTTATCTTCCCAAAATAGAAAAGATTAGACTAAAAACTTACGGTACTGTGAGAAGGCTCACAAGCAGATGACATAGCAACATCCGTGTCTCCATCGACTGGACCATTCGAGACAGCAAGCGAATCGGTCACAAAAGAATGAAGATCCCAAACTTCGGGAAACGATACTCTGCAGGAACGAAGTTTAAATTAAACAATACACAGAAAAAAAGAACACATGAGAAAGTTTTTTTGAATTACTCAATAGGCCGTGAATGGGTTCGAAAATCGGGAACTTGCGATTAGCGCAGCAACTAATTTGAACTCACCGGTCATTCACTTTGATGCGATGCATCAGAGAATAATCAAACTCGAATCGCTTCATTTGAATGGTCAACAGGTACGGGAACGATTTGAACTTCAGTCCCTTGTGAGCATCACACTTCTTATTGCATTTCTCGCAGAAATATTGATTCGATTCGTTCAAAATTTCTGGCTGAACGAACGCTTGCAACGCCTCCTCCTGCAACGTTTAAAATAATTTTTAGCAGCAGAAAACAAAATTCAAAGTATCCTCACGCTGTTTTCCTGCGTAACTACTGCGAGAGATCAAAATACACGGGTTTTCAACAACTATCTGTCGAAAATCAATACTGAACAAAAATTAAAGGATTTCCAGGTAACCCTTCGATGAGACTATTTTACAGTAACAGATGTAAAACCACAAAACCAATTTAGCTCCTTTCCTTTCCAAAGAAAAGTAAAGTAACATAGTGAACTCTCAACCTGAAAACCAGCATACAGTATTTAAAAGACCTCATCATGGTCAAAACTCTGGAGTATGCGCGAATTTAATCTCATAAAAGAACCGTCAGATTTCAGTGGAAAGCTGATTTTCGAACTAATAACCTAAACTTCAACTTAGACTCGTAGGTATATGAAACTGAAACTTGGAAGATCGTATTTACCACGCTTGCGTACGTCTTCGCTTGACCAAATGGTCGTATCGGAAGTTGAATATCTTGGTAGATGTCTTCTCGAGCTTTTTCATTTCCACACTCGAGACATTTAACATAATCCAGCATCATTCCTACACATCCACAAATAAATAAAATGAAGGAATCCCAAAAACGCCAGATAAAAGATTGCTCAACACAAACCTTCGTATAAACGCTTGATCAAATCTGCTTGATCAGTTTCCTTAAACTTTAGCTCCAACGTATCAAACATCACGCGGCATAGCTCTTGAATATCATGCTGTTGCCAAACTTCAGTTGAATCCCAACCGAAACTTTTGGTTAGCTCCGTGGTTTCCACAGAATGTCGCCATGATGTTTCCAAACTGAGGAAAAGCTTCTGCAATTGGAAAACCAAGGATTTGGATTCTTCTTCCTTCGAGCTGTCGAACTCCCATCGATAAAGCGCATTCCGGAATTCCGGAGTCATGAAAAGCGTCTGCAGCAAGCTGTTTAAATAGCACGTCATGGCTTGATTGACTAAACCGATGTACGGCGAATCACGCTTGTATGTTCCAGATGAAGAACCCTTATCCTTAAGGAAGTTGTTTCTTTCGACGAAAGCTAGAAGAGCGGGGCATAGAAGAGCAAAAATTAATATCCGTCGATGGAAAGAGATCGATGCACGAACTTCGAAATTGGAAAGAGGATGCTACAGATAACTGTTACTCTGAACGCTCAAATATATATTAAATGGAGACTGCAGAACTTCACGATTCACAAAGCTGAAAACTGTTCTTTAATCAAGAGTCCCTGTGAAATTTGAGAATTAACAAACCGTTTTCAGGTTTATCCTTGATGCATAGCCTGACTAAGCCGACTTGAACCACGTTTTCCACGGTACTTTCGAAGCCAACATCTTGTAACGTGGAGCTTTTGCAATTGCACAAATTCTTCCCCTCCATGCCCTGAGAGAGAAATAAAATCGTGAACATGAAACGCACTGATTGACATACAGCTACCAGTATTACTCACGTTGCCTTCAGCTGTTCCATTCACACACAGAGTCAAGGCGAGCTGTTGAACATCCAAATCCAACCGTTTTCCTACAGCAAGAAATAGCTGCTCAACTGGGCATGACCCCGGAAGAATGATTGGATCGAGCATTGCAACGGCCAATTCACTTCCAGATCCGTCATTTCGCAAAACGCAGCGAACGGCGTCTCCGTCATCACCGATGCACATACTTACAACCTTCAGTGGAAAAACAAAAATTGATCAAATGAGAAGAAATACGAAACGGAAGTGGAATTTTGAACGCTCATCTGAGGAGATTTAAGAACTAGCTGACACAGTTCTTCGAGAAACACAGACCCGTCACGAACAAGAGGAACCCACCGACTCGAGATCTGGCTTACTTCCAAAACTGCACGATTCGGGATGACCCAGATCTTAAAAGAAGCGCAGTACAGTACTATTTTTAGTCATGCTGGGAGCTGACATCATTCGACTTGTAACACTAAATCTTGCGGGAAAAATTTTAGAATACAGCTCGGCGAAATTACGATTAGCGTATCCATTCGAAAAAATAAAAATCGACTGTAAACGCAAAGTAAACACGAGCGCAGGGATTCCGCTCATGAAAGAAAATGCTCACCTCCATTCCAACCAAACTTCCATCGCCCGGCCACGGACCCATTGGAGCACGGAAGTCCAAAAACGGGCCTTAGCGGGAGTGAACTCGATTCCGCCACTTAATCTGACAACATAATCACGGTTAAATCAGGTTACACGATCCAAACGGTTCACCTAAATAAGTGGAATGATCATTTCGTACTACAGTAATAGATTTTCCGTCAACAACAATTTATGCTTCCAGGATAATTCACAAAAAGTGAGAGACAAGTCAGCAAAAAATGTTCTCAAATACTCTCCCCATAATTTATTTTACATCCACCACACAGACATAAGCAAACTTCAACATTGCTTCATAAATACCACTTTAAAAACAAGTGAGTACTCGCACGTCATGTCATTCTCTTCAAGCGAAATCAGCATTTCTGAGCAGCTCGCTGTTGGTTTCTTGAATGTACTTCAGGAATTCCATTCAATGCAGCTCAACAAATGCATGAATGTGGCTCAAATCCACCGTAGCGCGTGAATATCCCACCGAATAGACGCGTAGTAAGTAGAGGTTCAACCTGTAGGATGCCCCAAAATAACCAGCATGCATGGGGCTAACCAAAAGTCTGCAATATTTACATGTTGAATAGTTTTAACTTTTAAGCGTTCCATGAGGCCATGACGCTTTCCATTATCGGTTATGCCTGCAGCATATGTTCATACTTTTTTCGCGTGGCAACATTTATTGATTTTTCATGTACCAATATTTTTCACGAGATGATAATTCAATCATATACAGATCGCGGTCATATATATCACACACATTACTGTGTGTAAAATATATTTACGTTGGCCTGCACTATAATCTCTTCTGTGCATGGTTGAGAATATTGTACAGTACTGTATTATTTTGAAGAAAAAAAAAGTTTTATAACCATTTTATTCTGCATACCGAACGTTAGATTATACCATCCAGGAAAGGATTACATTCCCGGTACGACTAATTTAACATTGATTATTGTGATGAGAGGAATGTCAATACAAGTTTCCATGTTAGCTATGAAAATTCAATGATTTCCATTTGAACCTCGTCCCTAAATAATACTGTATCAGAAATGTACTGCTGCTGTACAAAAGGAGTAATTCCTTATTGATGCCTGAATACAGTAATATGGAACTTATTGAAAGTAAATAATAGTACAGCATATAGCACCTGTATCTAAAATGTTCTAAAAGCTCATCCTAACCTTGAGCTCAAATATTCTTGAGAAAAAAATTTGATGATTTGTTCAAATGAATAAAGACGGACTGCTATGAAAAAAAATCTACAGACTCTCGAATGTACATTGTACTGAATGTGCGATAATTTCACTACAGTATATGTAGTGCTGCTCAGTGGCGGCCCTAGGGTGGGGCGAGAGGGGCGGCCGCCCCCATCAGGCCCCGCGCTTGAGGGGCAGCCGCCCCCATCAGGCCCCGCGCTTGAGGGGGCACCGCACTTGAGGAGGGCCCCCTGTCCTGTGGTTCTGAAAATTGGCTGTCCCCCTCAACATTTTTTTCACTTGCCTTGAAACTGGAAGGAGTGGGGACCCCTTCCAAAAGGACAAGTTTATTCTTAACTCCTTATAAAGTTTCCTGTCAAGTAATCTGATCTATAAGTAAAATACAACAGAGCCAACAATGCATTCAGAAGAATATTGGCATAAGTGCTTTCCTTTTTTAAAGCTTCAGTGGAATTTTTGTTTCAGATCAATGCATTTTCACATTTTATGCGGTCTTGTTGAGTTCTTATCAATAAGAATTTTCAATGCCATAAAAACAATGCATCTTGAATTTTGAATCAACTACATTAAATGATGGCAATCCTCCATGTTGAACTTTCCCATGTAGTTTATGCAATGATGGTCCAATTTGCAATCAATATTTCTAAAAATATGACAATAAAGATTAAAATGAAATTCACATTCATTCATCATGACTTTAGAGTAAATGTGCTCCTCCATTACAGATAGAACAATATTGTTGCTGGACCTTCCTAAAGCATGAACTTTATTGATATTAATTATCTTTTGTGATTGCATTTCTGCTGGTCTATCCCTGGCAAATGCCTCAAGAACAATTCATTTTAAATCCCCCTGAATGGAAACTTTTTGGCTCTAAAGCTGGTCCCTTGATTGCTATTAAAATTATCCTGCAGTAATACCTTTCTGTTACAGAATGGAGGCCAAATTTTAGAGCAGCTGTTCCAAAAAATGAGAAAAATAATAAATGTGATGTTTTTCAAAACACACAAGCTACTTCTCTACATGTTGGTAATGTGTAAATAATTAACAATTATAAGGTCAGAAAATTATTTTCTTGATCAGCCTGTACACAAATTGGGCCATAATCCTTAAATTTGAAAACTGCTGTGAATCATTTTTGAAAGCCCTCTCAAATTCAACCTGAAGATAATCAGAATTACAACTGAGACAGATACATTTGCCAGAATTACAGATACAAACAATTTTATTTAATCTGCAGAATTTTAAGATAAGTGAATGCTGAGCGGCTTAATTTGGTCTCAGGAAGATGATAACTGTTGAGTTTTGATTAGCTGCAGTTCTTTTTTGCAGTAATTATCATTGTTATTTTAGTAATTTTATTTGCAATGGCCATTTTGGTTGGTATTGTAAATTTTTAAAATTTTAATGTATAACCATTTCAGCCAAAACAAACAATTCTACCTTTAAAAAAGTAAGAGATGCTGATACAAAAAATGTAAAAAATCCAAAATTTTAATTTAAAACTTGCAAAAGATCTTTCTCTAGCTTCCAAGAAGCATAATTGCATTTTCAGCTTCTCTTCATTTCGAATTCTTTTTTTTCATGGTTCAAATGCTGTTTGAGAATTGGCAGGGGAGTGTTTTTGAGGGACCCCAAATTTGAAATTTCTGCCCCAGGCCCCGCAAACCCTAGGGCCGCCTCTGTTGCTGCTGCATGGTACTTGATATGTGTATGTTTGTGCGTATATATACGGTATAAAGGCAATTGATTGCTGGTTTCATGACTTTAATTTTGTCTTTTTTACTTTGCTGATCCACACTGTACTGATGCACACTCACAGTATATTCAACTTGGTTTTCTGTCCTTCCATTACCCATCAGCATTAGTAACTTGTATACAAGTACAGTTGCTGTATACAGTATAGATCTGCTCAGTTTTTTGTTATTGTTTCCAATCTGGATTTGCTTCTCAACTTTGCAAGCCATGCAGGTTTTACAAACCAAATTTCGCGGCAGAGTTTTTGCCTTCCAATTAATCAATTATTGCAATGCTGTGGATACCCAGAAATTCCATCATATTTTCAAAGCTGCGGCAAGTAAATCTACGACTATATACAACTACTGTATAGTACTGTACTGTACATATATAATAAATACGGACGTTTACTTCCTTAGGCGTCTATATGGGGAAAGATGATGTGTATAGTTTTTCTGAATTTTCAAAATACAAAAATGACAGGGAATTGCGGCGATATTGAGACAGTGCACAACATCAAAGGTGAAATTTGAAAATTAAGATGAATGAATTGATGCGGTCATATTTAGGCTAACACACCGCATACATAAATTAATTAAATTTTATGAACACGAAGTACAGTACTGTGAAGAGTGACCCTGTTTTATAGTCCTTGCTGGCCAGGATGCATCCTGAGACGTGACACGGGGTAAGAGAACCACGAACATTTGATTTTGCAGTAATGGCGCCTCTCAAGTGCAAAAAACATTTTTAGGGAAACACACCTCATCTATGAACCGATTGAAAATCAAAAGGAAATTGCGTTTGTTTCCCTCTTATCTGAACTAATTGTGACTGATATTTCCTACTTAAACCATCAGAATCCATAACACTCATCGCCTTCTAAATGAGGCTCTGTAAGATTTATACGTCTCATTAAAAGTAAAAATCTACAACCTTCTGGAATTTCTTCTGGGGACTTTAGCAAATCAGTCTTTCCTTTCTCAGATGCTTAGCTTTTCAGTTTTTTTTTGCCAAAGGCGGATACATCCAATACAATACTTGATCAAGCTTTCTACGTAAGCTTCTTACATATGGCTGTCAGAAGCTTGCTGTACAGCAGGGCATTTTAGGCCAACAAGCAGTTTATGCAAGGGGCAACATTGCGAACAGCATGGAGGTTTGAATGGTTACTTTCAAACTTTAAAAATACAGCTCAAGCCAATCCTCTCATCAGATGGTGAATTCTAAAAAAAAAGCATTCAAATCCCTTCTTTGTCAATTGTTTTCAAGACTCCCCTTCACGCCTTTGTCCTCCTTTGGGCAAGAAGTTCATTCAGGTCAGCAAGAATACATTAGAATTAGTCCTGGTCTCCACCTGAGCAGAAAAATACTTGACTGATGGAACATCAAAACTTATTCTCCCAGCATATACGTATACCCACGAATAGTGATTCCAAGGATTGCTGATTTGGTGGAAGATTTTTCTTCGTGTCTCTCACCATCGCTACAAAATACAAGTCTTGCTTAAAATTATGACAGAACATCAGAACCATTTCTTCCAAAAGATCGATTTCCAGCGAAAATAAAATGCTTGTGTCACCCATTCTAATGATCCTTGTGTCTAGACCGTTTCGCTCGAGAATACAATACCACGGTTTTCTGCAACTCTTCTCCAGCCAAGTGAACATCACTCGCCCATCAAACTCTTGTGCCAGCATTCAATTGAAACTCTCAAAAATAAAATGTAAACAAACAAAATCACTGCATTCGTTCGCAGGAACCGGGTGAAAGAAAGGCAACAAGCGGAAGACTTCAATTTGGTAAAAAGAAATTTGTATACAAGTGTGAAGGCATTATAAATTAAGGTCACTCAATTTTTGAATGAGGCTTACACCATTCAGAAGTTACGGCAAGAGTTTACCTCATATATTCCAGAAATTTAGGCAATTTTAAAATTTTATTCTACCTCTAGCTCTAACATGTTCAAATTTCAACAAATCGATACGTTTTACATCAACCCTCAAGGGAAACTCAGACACGCAATACAGACGTTCCGTACAAAACACCAAGTGTTAGAGTAACTAACTTTCTCAATAAGCACCCTTAACGAAAGCGTATATCGGAACCTGCTCAACAATGCCGAGGGGAACTGATTCATCAAGCGGAAATGTGAGAAACTGGCTATTTCTCTAAAAAAAAAAAGTCCTGTACTGGCCAAGTTCTTTAAAATTGAACGCATAATGCGTACCCCACAAAAAGGATTCCATAAAAACATTCGAACACAAGATTTCTCGAAAAATTTATGCAGTCATGCATCCGATCTATCATAAATTTCTAACACAGGAATTCTTCCAACTAATTATTTAAGAAAAAATATTCGTTCATGAATGGTAGGTAGATAAGGCCGTTCACTTGACAAGAACGAAAATTTTATTCTCCATCTTCGGATAACAAATAGGGTTGAGCAAGGGTCCATCGTCATCTATCTAGGACAGCTGAGTAGATCGTAATCCACGTGACCTGCAATCAGTAATTCAGGAATATATCATCCGATTAACATCTAAATGTGACCCTCTCTCTCACCAGAAAACCAGCGAACGACGTCATAAAACCCTCTTTCACCATCTCCCACGGTCCCCCGTAGTCTTCATCTTCAACTGACTGGAACATGCTGTAATATGCGTACACTATTGCTGCATTGAGCACAAAAAAGCTGCAAAACAAAGGAAAAAACACAGAAAAAAATGCAATCATCCATTCAAACTGGTTGGTTAAATAAAATTGACTTACAGGAAGAGCCCAAGGAATCCCTTTAGAGGGATGATGCCCCAAACAAGACCAAGCGCAACGCCAAGGAATTGTCGAATCCAATAAATGACGTCCAAAAATTCCTCCTGAAACATCATAAAGTAGCAGTCCCATGAGGCTCAAATTCACAGCGTCAACTAACCTTGTCAGGCCATGAGGCATTTGCCGTTACAGCACGCAAAAACACAGAATCTTCCGCACTGCTTTTGCTATGGTCCCCTTTCTTACCCATTTTCCCTACCGCACCCGACATCTCACCGGAAGTCTAAGCACGGTTTTCCACGGAGAACAAAACACACAAAAAAGAACAACATCACTAGAAGGTCCGCATTGTTTGGATCTTTGGAACTCTACTCCTTGAACAAGTCAAAATTTATCTCTTTTAGCACTATTCATGAGAAAACACTAAGATTCTGCAGCCATCCTTCGTTGCGACTCCGCTTGTCGTTCTCTAGCTTTTTTGTTGTTTTTCAACCGATTCGACTCCAATTCTCGTTTCAGACATTTTGTGAGCGCTGCATCCACTGAATTACACGCCCCCACGAATTTCTTGAATTTATTATCAGCGTGACATTTCTTCAGCGCAGCTATGAGTTCGTTACACTCAGCACCGTGCAAATGCGACGACAGATCCGGATGCATTCAGGGAGGGGTATCACCAGACCACTTCGTCGTAAGCAATAAAATATAAAAAATTTCCTGAAAATAAGTAAAAAACAATACACCCTTTCAGCATCATGGTCGGGACATGAACTAATACTAAAAGGAATACTGATCAACGAAAACATTCAAAAATTTTCTTGCAGAATCTGTTCGCTCAGTCACCAAAAATATATGCCATCAAGCTGGTCCCAAGGTTCCATTGAAGTGAGCAAAGGCTCTCCTTGAAAAACATGTCCCAAAAGTTGGAAAAACAAATGCAAATTTTTCTTCTATCAATCATGAAGCTCGGTGGCCAAAAGCAAGTTCTGAGAATACTGGAATTTTTCTCCTCGTCGGAGAAAGAGTCAATATTTTTTTAAGCATTTAAAAACACGAAAAATGAAGCAATCACGATTCGTCGATAAGTAGTCGCGAACAACCTTTCCCCGGCAGCATCGTCGCTCAAGTCCCCAAAATTTAGGGCACATCACCGGTTTTACACGTTCAATCACACGAATGGCAATTTGTAGCCATTCACCAGTGGGTTAAATTCATCCATGTTCAGCTTCGTCCGTATTTCAGTAGTATTCATTAGTTTGTATCCCCAAAGCTTCATCGCTTTCCGACAGGGTCGCTGAACAAGATCGATTTCTTCTAGTGATAATTTGTACCTCCATTCAAAGGGTGCTCGCTTCGAGTCTCTTCAGAAACATAAAACAAATCAACTACAGAAAATAACACACTTTTTGGTGGAAACAAACCTGAATGTACTGCTGACACCACCGACATTAACCTTGGTGTGAGACTCTAAGAAGTTCTTCGTCGTATTCGTGAAAGCCAGACGAAGGAACTTGAAGATTTTGGGAACAGAGTTTTCAAGATCGGTCGAAAAATCTTCATATCGTTCCACCCTGTGTGCATGAATCCATCGATCAAATACTTCAGTTAATCGTACTTCGAAATGATCGCGTATCCCGACATTCCTACACATGCAAGCATGTGGAGGCTTTTACACTCATCATGGTACAAACGCGAGGAAATTTAATCGACAAATTATTACATGAATTCTGGAACGAAACCTCACCTGACTTTCCCGGGATATTTTCGCGTGAGAACTTCGGCTGCGTGATAGTCCGCTATCAAGTCACCACACAGTTTCACCGGGTCATCACAATCAGCATTACCAGGACACCAATCACGATGTCGTCTGGATTCCATCGTTCCGCGCGGATCTCTCACAAGCAAGAGCACTCGAAGATTCATTCTGCGGTGATAAAACCCGAAAAGACGTGCACAACTTCTCGCCTTACGCCTAAGACTTCCACGTTCTCAACCTCAAGCTTTACCTTGGATCTGATATAAGTGGTTCTGCGGCCGCCAAGCCTAATCTCACAGTCTTGATGGCTTGAACGGGAAACATAGCACATAGTCTGCTCAGAAAGCGTGCATCGAAACATAGGCTGTTGTCATACAAAGGCACACGGGAAGTTCGGTCGACGAATGATGCAGGGTCCGCATCATTGCGAATATCTTGTGCGTATCCAGACAACTCACTGTCTGGGACTAGCCGTCTACAACGCGGCCACAAAGCTTCGTTGTGCGTCATTAGGTAAATATGCGATTTCCCGAACTCCAGATAGTCGGCTGAAAAATGAAATCGTAAGGTATAAAAAATCGGCAGGCTTGATTGAAGCACTTCTTACCGAAGGTCTTGGAAGCGTGCACAAATTGAACATTTTGACATACGTGAGCGAAACTTTTGGTGCAAATACAAACAATTCAGAAAATACCTCACATAAATTTGCGTAACGACACATCATCAGGTCTTTCAGAAGTTTCAGAGCAACAGTGGCGTTGGTGGTTAAAGAGCCACCCTTCCAGTCCGCTCGCACGCGGTTGATTCCAAACGGAAGTAATGGTTCGTAATGGTAAAATGTGCGAGGATGACTGATCATAAGATCACCAAGGAACGTAGAGCCAGATCGCCACGTTGTCAAGATCACATTCCGCACCGGAGTGCCATCGAGCTCTGGCGAGCGTCTAAAATACGGAAAAACACCGTCATACTCAAACACAGTAATTTTTTAAAGTGCATTCTCACTCCAACGGGGCCACCGTGTCAATTTCCGCAGTAGCGTCCAAAAGTATGGCTTTCTGATAAAAAAGAATTTGCTCAGCATAGTTTTCATCGGGATGTTCCACGTAATTTTGATTCGCTCTCAGAGGTTCTTCGGTGAACTGAGGAAAAGTGCGCAAGTTTGTCAGAAAATTAGAAGTAATAACGCCAGAAGACGACGTACGCACCTTTGCCAACGTTCGGGGATGGGCTCCAACATCGTTAGAAGCTAATGCATCTTCGCGAATTCGGAATGCATCGCCTTCGTGACTGAATTGTTCGTGATTTTGGTAATACCGAACAGAAGAAATGCGGAAAAATGCCAAACAAATGGTAACAATAACAATGACAACAATCCAAGCGTTTGTACCTGGATGTTTCTTCATCCCCTGCTGGAGTGGCAATTACAGAACATTCCACAAAACGTCATGAACCATCCGAGGACTCAAAATGCACAAGTCTCGCGATAACCTACGATACAAAAAGCACTTGGACTTCCCCATCAGCCTCACTTCTAGGACTACTTGCGCTAATACACGAGCCCCGAACTTCGACCAGGCTCTCTAACCAGATCTCCCCCCCCCCCCGGCATCAACTTATTACTGTACCGTACTTACCGCTCTGGTTGTGCAGGGGAAGAATTTAGCAAATGGGGTTTTACCCTCCTTTCGTAGATGTCACCATCCAACGATGTCCAGTACCACACATCGAGCAATTCTGTGAAAGACCTCTTTCACATGCAGGGCACAAGGCTTTGCACAGCCCACAAAATTCATCACATCTGACAAATCTACTGAGCTGAAGATAAATTTGCAATAGACCTGTAAAATTTCATGATTCTGATACTTGAATTTTGAGAATGTTCACCAGAAAAAAAGAAATGTGTTTTGGAACAGGGCTTCAGGGTACAGATTATTTATTGTACGGTGATCACCAGAAATCCGAGCTCATTAACGGACATTTGATTTCCATTGAAATTGTACTACAGTATTCAGCAGCGTGGACAACATTAACAATGCAGTAATGGAGATTTTATCGCCTTGTCTGCAGAAGTAGAATTTTGTGAACAAGAAAAGTGGGTGGATATCATAAACCGTATTTGACAAGTACAGTACAGTACCACGCGCACCTTTTTTCCAGAATTCAAGCCAGAAAAAAAGGGTGCGCGGGGTACCCCCAGGATAAAATCTGGATCAACATTTTTGGAAAACGCCCTATGCAAGTTGTATGGGAGTACATCAATACAGTAGATTTAAAACAATTCCAGATGAAATGCATGGCACTGGCAGTCTCATTATTTATGCTGGAATACTGGTTGCAGGGATAGCAAGTTAAAATATTACTTTCAAGGACAATTTTCCTGGAATAATTATCTGAGATGCAAAAGGAAGTAAAGGTTGTAGCAAATTGTCATTTATGATAGGGGTATAGTTGCCATTAAATGCCAGAACATTTTATTGCTGCTGCAATAGAAAATGAAAAGGAGGAAGCACAAACAATTAATTTTGAAAATGGATCCAAACAGGATATGGATAAGATTTTTTTTCCTAGGAGAATTCATCAGCACTCTGGCCATTTGCAACAGTGGGAGTACAGCACAATTTCACAGTGGAATGTTTTGTACATTGTGCTGAAAATAATGCAGAAAGCATCTAAATTTAAAATACTTCTGCTAGTTCATTCCATTTTTAGTTTAAAAAAAATATTTTCAAAAATATATTTAGCCAGCAAAAACTGGGGTGCACATCATAAATGGGGATAACTTTTTGGGCAATTTTCACCCAGAAATTCCAGGGTGTGCACCTTATGGAGGGTGCATGGTACAGTCAAACCCCAATAAGATGCTACCATTTGTCCAGAGCAATTCTGGCAGTTTAAAGGGGTTGGCGGTTTATCAAATATTTCATTTTAAATCATTCGATCAAAAATACTTGATTTTCCTTCAAAAGTAATAGAAATAAAAGTTTTCCAGAAACTTCAGTAATTTTCCAAAGAGTATTGCTGTGATTTATGCATTACTCCTTCAGGAAATTAATTTTTCTGTATCAATTTATTCAAATTTTAAAATTAGGTCTATATATTGTTCAAAGATTTTGAAAAATGAAGATTGTTATACATCTCTCACACATTTCAAATTCCTGCTCGAACTACTACAATTTCAAATTTATTTACCGCTAAGACATTCTAAAGTTCCTCCTCGGCCACTCAGCCGTTTGCATGTATGGAAAGTTGAATATGAGTAGCTTACTTCTTTGGTGGCCTTCAAAAAGATGAAGATTTTCTTTTTTTTTCGTATCAATTTAATCAAATTTTAAAATTAGGTCTATATATTGTTCAAAGTTTTTGAAAAATGAAGGTTGTCATTTTGTTTTCTTCTTACCAATACAAGATCCTGGACAGCAAATATAATTGTACCCAAAGGTTGGCATTGTAACAAAGACAAAACTAATACAAAACAGCCCTCTCGTATCATCACTAATGCTGGCTGATGGCATCTTATTCAGGTTTTCTATGGCATTTTGTAATGAGATTTGTTTCATTCGAAATGTTGGCGGTTTCCAAGGGTGGCGCTTTTTTGGGGGGCATCTTAACGGGGTTCGACTGTACTCCAGTAAATTTCATGAAAGAACAAAATATATGCAGCAATGAGAGAGATGCACGATACCTCTGGTATATGTTACTGATACAGCAATATGCATCTCACAGGCACAGGCCGGCGCTGGGGTGGGAGGCGCCTTTGTGCAAGAACAAATTTGGCGCCCCTCTTAATAAAAGAAAAGTTTTAAAAATTAAAAAGGACAATTTTTTACTATGATGCCTGCAAGGCATCATAATTGATTGAAATGATTGGAAAATCATCAAATGATTAAAACATTTATATGTTCCACTACTAAAACACACTGTATACCATGCAAGGCAAAACTTGATTACAATGTACAGTACTGAGATTGCAGGCAACAATGAGTTTGTTAGAATCATATTTTATTCCATGGTTCCTATGAAAAAACTGCTGGAAACGAAGAAAAAATTCTATAGTAAAAAAATAGAATAAAAATTGTTCCAACAGAATGTTTCTGCATTTTCTATAAGTATTTGTCGCAAAAAAATCTGCATTGCATAAATTCAGTTTGATTTTTGGTCATTTCACTGATGTGTTTTCAGTGAAACATCTGACAATTTTTTTCTTTCAATTTTCTGTCCAAGTTCTTTTACACTGTATTCACAATCATAATTCTGAGTACCAATTCGCTTTCTAAAAAAAAAAAGGATTTTTGGCTTCAAAAAAAGTGCAGATCATGACTGCTTGAATTCCTTTTGTTTAGTAACATTGTCACCCAGAATAGTTTTTGTGCACTTCCTTCACTTTTTGGTAATTTGGCAATGAGTAAATAAGCTATTATTCAGTGAACTAAAGCTGTGTCATGGTGGACATTCAATTGCACTTAAAATATCATTACAATGAAGCCACTGGTGCCAGTAAAATGGCCTTGTTGTTACAATATTTTTTACAAAACAACTCATTTAAAATTGTGGCTATTGGATAGTGCACCAAAACTTCAATGTAAGCAATTTTTTGTCACAACAAATTTTTTGTTGCAACAAGATTCAACTGCAGAAGAAAACATTGCCTTGCGTCTATTTTTAGTCAAGATAATTTATGCAAGAGATTTTCTGACTCTTGTTCCAACTACATATAAGTGATTTGAATATGACATCTGATATGAGTAAATTAATATATAATTTTGCAGATAGTAGTGGAACTTGTTATTTCTGCTCCTTGTATGCATTATTGGTGTGTTGGCAGTTTGGCACAGCTGGTGAATGGAACTGATAAGAAAACAAGTTTCAAAATTATTCTAAGTGACACCTGTGGATCATGAAAAAGATTCTGAAATTATTACTTTCTTCACCAACAAGGGATCAGAAGATTAAATTTTGAGATTTTGATGTATCTTTACAAAATCCAAAAATAGAAAATGTATTGCACTGCAAAAATTATTTCTATACCTAGATCATTATGGTGTGACCACATTTTTTGCCATCCAGCCATTGTGAAAAATCAATGATAATTGCATAATAAAAATATTTTAATGTACAGCAATTCACATGCAAATGAAACTTTAGAAGCATGGATTGGTCATAATACAATACTCAGCCCTTTTTTCTGGGAAACTTGGAAAGAACATAAATGGTAATATTCTAGGGTTCAAATATTGCCTTAAATGAGTTAAAAGGCTGCTGAACTTGAAGGCAGGGGTTCATTTGCCCAATTAAGTTTTTCACTTCCTTTAAATTCAAATTTATGGGTTTTTCATTTATTTTTTTCTTACTTTTTTCAAGATAATAATGGTCAACAGGCGACAGAAAATTCGACCAATGGAGGTTTGAGGGGAAAGCTTTTGACTTAGGGAGGTTTTTAATCTATAGGTTCTAAGGGGATTCAAATGGGACCTGAACAAAATTTGACTTAGGGGGGTATTTGACTTAGAGAGGTTCCAGTTATTGAGGTTCACCTGTATAATATTGGGAACCATCATACAACAGCTGTCCTTTTGAATTTTAGCAGATGAAAATTTCAACTTCACATTATTTTCAATGGAGTGTGCTGAGAATTTAAATTTTCAGGGGCAAAAAGGAATATAACATTCATCAAATGAATGATTTGAGTCCAAATTCCAATTGAGCTAATTTGAGCAGTGCAGCATTTACAATGTGAACAGTTGTCAAAATTGATCTTCTGTGTATCATTACAACTTATTAAATTTGCAGGTTATTTTTAGGCTACTGTGCATAATTTTAGCTGGATACAAAGGAATGGAGAAGAAATCATTATAATTGACTGTAATTTGTGCTGACTAATTCAAAATTAATGCATTTGAAATATTTATGTTATACTGTAGTTTGAATCATGTATAAAATGTTCCTGTCCCATTTTCCATGTATGACTTGCAATACAATGGGCGCCCTATTTTTCCATTTATTGGTTTCTGAAAAAATGGTTTGCATGATACATAATCAACAAATGTTGGTCTGGGTCGCTCCAGCACCACAGGTGAAGTATTTGAATTTTGCTAGTGTTTAATGATTAAATACTTTTACAAGTTCTACCACTTATTTGCCTGTTTTTTGAATGATAACATTAAAAAAAGTAGGGCTATGTTTTGATCTGCACAATCAGTGAATTTATGACCTGCAGATTTTTGTTCATTAAAAAAGGTACTAAGATATATGGGGGCACCAAAGCAAGAATTTTGCACTGTTGAGTTTGCATCTCTTATTTCTTTGTTGGTGCCAAACCATGGGTGATCCAGATCCATGTATTTGCATCCAAATGACCCGTGTATTTGCATCCACTAACTACCCAAAAGAAGGAGCAAATTTTGAAGGGTCCAAATCCCATTTTGGCGCCCTCGCGCCTTTGTGCGGTGAACAACCTGCACATACGGTCGCGCCGGCCCTGCACAGGCAATATCTCAGAAAATCGCTTATGGATATTCGTGGCCTTTCACGCAAAATTTAATGATCCGATTCAAAAACTGCAGTCCGCTTCCTCGATTAATGCGTACAGTACGGTATTATTTTTCAGCGTTAAATTAGTCAAACCATTCTGATCTATCTAGCCAAATTGTAACGCAATACCGCCAACACGAAAACCAACAATCACTGAAGTTTCAACTGTAAAATCCGACCGAATTCCCATTATACGTTACAGTAAACGAAATGCACGACGTATAATGCCTTGCTCTGTTCGATCGATTCACTCCAAGCAATTCACCCTATCAAAAATGAAAACTCAATACGAAGGCAATAAATTTTCTCCATTTATTCCCAAAAAAATGCCAATGCATCCGTTCCTCGAATACACAGCGACTTCCCAAGTCCGAGATCTCAAACGCCCACGTCCTTGGTAATGCGTAGTAACGATATCCCAAATTTGTGCTCATCACCAAAATAAATTGCTCAAGCCGTAAAAACCTGGCCGAGTTTCAATGCACGGACATCCCAAAAGAAACTTTTCCGAATAACCTGCGAATTTTAGGACTGACTAGATGCAATTTGAACGAGTGATAAGTAAGGTAACGCAGAATTCGCAAGCCGCACTCGGTGGGCACTCGGAAAGTAAGTAGAGCACTAGCGCTACGCAGGAAATCATTGATTCATAGGTTTCAATCCAATGCATCTAAAGCATTTAATTGCATTCACAATTTCCGAAGAGAACGTCATCATAAAATCGAGTGATGCCCTATCTGCCAAGTAAAGTCAATTTAGTTGAACCAAGCAGTCTCGCCGACAACCAAACAGAAACCCAAATCCAAAAACAATGCCAGACTAGATCCTTGAACGAAACTTCCGCATCGTCTAACCGATGTCATTACCCAGGTCGCCGTACCCATGAACAAAAGCTCCAATAAATGCCCGATCACCTTTGGAAATGTATCACGCAGAAGTCCTTTCAAAGCGTCCTTCGTCATCCATAGAAACATCATTTCTTATTTCTTCTTCCACGGGAACCACGTCAACCAATTCATTATTCGCGGCGGGATTCATGAGCGCGATCGAGTCTTCGCAGAGGAGCTGACAGAGTTGAAGCAAGCGTGTTTGTACATACGGGATGTTGGAAAGCTGTTCCTCCAATTTCAGCTTTTCTTCTTTGAGCGAAACTCTCGCAGAAGCATCCAACTGTTCAAGTCGCCAACCACCGCAGCCATCAAACTGGAGCACGTGAGTATGGAATTTCCACAAGGAAGGGCGGTGGGTTATGGTGAGCAACGTGATTCCCGAGTTTTTGGCTTCTTGGTACATTTTACTTTCCACATCGATGCTTACTGCGCTCGTGCATTCATCCAGAAAGGCAAAAGACGGCCTAGAGAGAGATCAGTTCATATGGAGTTGAAAATTTGGTTCTTCAGGAGATGGTGGACCAGCGCGGTCACGAGAAGTGTTTCTTGACAAATAAAACTCTTATACACGGCCGACCGGTTCAAACCACTCCTCCAAATCAATGTTCCCCAAATTTCCGGGCCCACGGATCAGCGAATTTTGATACTTCTTTTGCGGACCAGCAAATTTCCACCAAAAAATAGGCACACTGGCCAAGTTTCACAAAATGTTTGCAGACTCAAAAATTTTTTGTTTGAAAGACTTTATGGCAAGCATTCAAAAAGTTTTTGCTTGTTTGCAGAAATTAAGTTGAGACAAATGAAGTAGCTTTGGTGGAATGTCTTCAAAAATTAAAAAGTTGGACTTGAAGAAGGGTTTCTCGAAATGAACATTTAAAGTACATATTGCATTGGGTGAAACTTCGTCTGAAGTGTTATTAGGAGAAAAGCCAACGTTTATTTTTTGGTCAGATACTTTTAAGTGCCATTATTGCCTTTCCAAAATTTCAGATACAGATAAAAGACTTTATTGCTACTCTTGATCAATTTATTATGCTGAAAAAACTTTCCCGCGGAATGGCAAAAAACTTCTGTGGACCGGCGCTGGTCCACGGGTTTGGGAACACTGCTCCAAGTCTAAATTACCAGCCCACACAACATTAAGATACTGTAAATGCGTGAACAAGTTGAATAAGAACAATCGAGCTCTTACTTATGATAGAACATCCTCGCCATGCCCATTCTTTGCTTTTCTCCGCCGGAAAGAACATCTTTCCAGTCCTTCTCGGCATCCCAACCACCTTCTCTAACCAGCAGGTGCGACAAGTGGACTATGTCCATGATCTTCGTCAGGTCGGTGTCAGTGATTCCACGCTTATGCATGGTTTCAACACTGTCCGGATAAATTAGTTGGGATCTCAAAGTACCCGGCATCATGTACGGACGTTGCGGAATGTAGAACATCGCATCGTTCGGGGGTCGTTCCAATTTTCCTCCGTATACTGGCCACAGACCGGCAATGATTCTAAAATAATGATTAAGAAATATGTTCCGAACGAAAATCAGCGAACTGTCGCATTGAGCAGTCCGTGTACAATAATAATCCACGCTTCAACAACGAGGATAGAAACCGTTCAACAGATGTAAATTATAAAGCACATTTGAAAGTTATCATATGCCCCCAAGATTTTTTCTTCTACTGAAGTAGTTAAGGTTCGTTCATCTTCAATCCGTCTACTCTAAAAGCAAAATCAAATTATTTTAAATCGCCTATTTATACAAGATCAAATCAGTTCAAGAATAACATTTTCTTCTTCAGTCTCAGGATTCTATTTTGAAACAACATTCACTTCTCAGGCAGGGTCATCACAGTAAACAAGTTTATATAAACGGCGATAATTTTCATCAAGTTTTGAATTCTCTGTGACAATTTCTCACCTTTCATCCTCGGACTCAACTGCTCTTGGACAGGTGAACAGATGGTGTTGTACATCTCTCACACATTTCAAATTAACGCTCGAACTATTACAATTTCAAATGTATTTACCGCTAAGACATTTTAAAGTTCCTCCTCGGCCACTCAGCCGTTCGCATTGTATGGAAAGTTGAATATTGGTCGCTTACTTCTTTGGTGACCTTCAAAAAGATGAAGATTTTTACAGTTTAAGGCAATCAGAACAACTGCCTGATAGTTGTAGAATGAACGTAAACCCTCAACGATTTCCTTAATTTTGAAGCAACTTTGATTCTAATTTTTTCGTTGGTTGAAGGTTCAGAAAGAGAAAGAGAGAACTAGAGGTACTCCAGCATTCGCAGAATTCAAAATCACGAACACATCCAACTGTTATTACTGGACGAAAATCTCGTCACACAGATATTTCCGATTTGGAAGTTGAGACTACCGTTGAAACAATGTAAAATCCGGGCTTTGGATGAAACGTACATTTCACGTCTGATTCGTCGATTTCTAGAATCAATTTAGAAGGGTTTTAAAAAAATCTGCCGCTTTTGTTATCTTTGCGATTAGAATCAAAGGGATCCGATCTCATAAATTTCCTCACCTGAAGAGCGAACTCTTCCCACACCCATTTGGGCCAGTAATGAGTAAATGCATGTCCCGGGTGACCACGATCGACAGGGAATCAACCACCGTATCATACGCTGGTGTGATCACAGGAACAGATTCAAGAACTATCCTGCACGGGGACTGCACAACAACGCCTCTGATTTCGGGCGGACGCTTTTCACTGCCGGGTCTGAAGTATTTCCCTGAAGCAACGTCTTCGAACGTGACCAACATGTCATAGACCCTCGTGGAATACCCCGCGAGTTCAGTAACATCCTTGTAGGAAGACATCAATCGCTCGGCGGCGTCTCCGGCTGATATCAACATTTTCTGGGCAGTTGTGTACGCCTCTGTTCTTTCGCCAACACCGCCATCGGATGAACCTTGAACAAAAGGTATTACGAAAGTTTGCAAAAATGTCCAATGAGACAATATAAACGGGTAAGTGTTTTTCTTGGTATGTACGAGAGATAGTACACGCACCTTTCAGTCCTGCCATTTCTTAGAAAATTACATTGAGATGAGTATTTAATTTCCCGAATATTTTTTCAACTTTTGCTCACACAAAGAAGGAAGTTCTGGGGGAAGGCAGGAAGTTCAACATGCCTATCAACAGAAAATAAGGCTAACCTGCTTCGCTCGCATCCTTTATGCATTAGCACGCGATCAACTTGCTATTAAATCTTTGAAGCACGCACTTCATAGTTGAAACATAATTTGTCTCACATCGTTTCAGATATGTATTACAATCCAGTTGCAACGAAAACAGTCTTTTATCCGGGAAAGTTCTGCATTAGTGATGCTGCATGTGAAAGTCGATCCAAGACGAAAATTATGAGCATGACGTTGCACAAGTACCACCTCCAAGTGAAGGCAATGTTCAAGAGATCAATACTGATCAGTTATCAATCGCAGAAAGCCGTGGAGCTTCGTATTAAAAAACTTGAGTACTTAAAAAAAAAATTCAAGTTCCAAGTAATGACAAAAATTTCGAGCCATCTTCCGCATTTTTCCTCCTGATTCAATCTGCGTCCGGATATACAGAAAACGAAAGTTGAAACACATGAACGAATTTCTCGTCGCTGAATTTCGTTCGCTCAACAAAAAACATTCAGCCCCTCTGATAAAGCTTTCCATTCCAGATTATCACACTGCATGCATTAAAATCGCGATACAGCACGATTATTACAAGAAACAAGAATCAAAATCGGACAGAGCTCGTAAGCAGAATTATCACGAACAACATAATTAAAAAATAATAAATTGCGGAACAATGCCGAAGGTTACCTTCATTCTTTTTTACGGTTTCAGTCAAGAGAGGTATTGACACCATCACCAATCCAACGGCACTCCAAACATACTTGAGTAGGAACTGCTCAAGCATGACGTACCACAACTTTCGTCGGAAAACATCGTGGCTGTGCTTCACAAATGACTGGTACGCCTTCTTCACCAGCCCGAGTTCAACTTTGTGACCAGAGTAGAAAGCTATTTCTTCTGCATTCGTGATGACTGATGTGTGCGAATTTCGTAAAGACGCCTTCAAGGCAGCACCTTTCGCAGCCAATTTGCCGAATCTCGGGGAAAGGAGCTTCAAGATTTGACCAGTGATTAAAACGCAGGCGCAGGCGATCACAGGACCTGGGGTAGTCATGGCAAAAAGTTCAGGGCACGTTTTTGAGTTCTATTACGATTACGAAACATCGAACACGAGACAGCAGCAGGAATAAATGCATAAAAAATTAAGACCAACTCACTGACTATCAAGGATCCTCCTCGCTTACGTCCCATTTGTATTAAACTGACCGTGATAATGAAAATATCCAGTAACGGCTTTGTGATTTGCGAGTAGAGGCGAGCAACGGCCTGGGAAAACTCGGAGACGTCATCCGTAAGACAATGATCAGCATTTGCTATCCGTCCATCCAAATTTGACACTCTGAAAATCAAATCGACGAGATTTCCTCAAAATTATTACTTGGATCCCTTGAAAAAAAAAATTATGTATCGCGTCAAAAATAGAATATAGAAACGTTATCAAGTACAAAAAGGCAAGTGATCCGAGAAAAAGTTCGTTAAAAATTGCGTCCGCAGTTAATAAATAAATAATACAATGAAAATAAATTGAAATGATTGCCTCATATTCACAACGTATCAATCGCACCCGATTTTAGCATGCGTTCAAGCGTAGGACCAGATTTCAAGCAGTCATTCCACACACAAAATTTTTGAAAATGTATACGATCATCAGAAACATTCGGCGTACTAATTCAATACAGTATCGCACTGTAAACTGGTCTGTAAACTTTTCATGAACAGGTTTCCAAGCAGAAGTGAACTACTAACATCCTGCTTCAGAATGTCGTCAGCAGGTTGTCAACAACAAATGTTCCATCCTTAGAAATTGAATTTTCAAGAAATAATTTAGATCATTTCCAATCCAAGGAAGCAGGAATCAAGAGATTATTTCGAGCACTGGCCGCACAAGAGTTTTTCACAGTAGCTTCTAGCGGGGAAGTGTAGATTTCAGTCGGTTAAAATTCAAAAACGGTTTCAGATCGGTATCGAGGTAAAGGAAATTGTAGCAGGCTTGACCTGTAAAATGTTTGATCCTGGAAGTATTTCTCGTAAGCGTGATTCACGAGCCTCGTCCGGAAGTTCAGCGCCAATTCGTTTTCCAAGAATCGTATCGAAGAATTAACGAACGTTGCAGGTACGGCAACACCAAGCCACAACAGCAACAGACGGAAGAACCCGACCACATCCTTTCTCACAATGAACTTCACCACCCGTCCTTCCAAGGAAGCCACGTAAATCGACAGGAACGTTCGGGCAATCAAAGTGATCGACTGTAACGTCAAAAGTCCGCTTCCACTGCAGAACAATCTCGGCAGAATAATCGGGAGGATGTATTTAAATTGCCTAAAAAGCTCTCGGTCGATGACGTATTTTCGGCTTCTCCCACGTTCCGGTGACGTGACGACGGGTGAGCCGATTTCCGACGCCAATTTCTGACTTCGTTGCCGTCGAGACGGAAAAATCACTTTGATGCAGTATGCGCAAATTATGGCAGCTGTAGCACATCTCGTGATCCATACGCGATTTTCTTTCAACGTGCTCAATATGGCAGGCATTTTTACACATGGGTACCTGCTAATCCGAAATTACATTTTCCCCGTCAACAGCATGCAAGTTATTCATGAAAATAAAGTCGCAACTTTCGAACATTTCACCACCCGGCTTTGGTAATCACATTCGCAGGGAAAACATTCGTAATTTCCTTTTTTTTATCTTGAATGTAATACGCACTTCGTATTCCAAATTGACTCAGTAAAGGCACGATGAGTCTTATATTGGATAACGTCTCATCTTTAATTATTCTAAAATTTGATGACGCACGTGTGAAAAGAATTGTCTCTAGAGAAAACAGCCTTCAATTAAAAATTACCATATTTACTCTAGCAACACGCGCATTTTTCTTTAAAAGTTTAAGAGGAAAAAAGGGGATGCGCATCATCGGTGGATATACATTTAAAAAAAAGGTATAGAAGTTTAGATGCTCATTATACAGTACTGTATTTGATACTAATGGAAAATTTTCGACCAATTTCAAGAGAAAAACGTACTCGACAGGAAAGAATTGAAAATTAATAGAATTCAGGATGGATTACTAGCTATATTTCAAATTTGGGTGTTCTTATTTTAATAAAACTGCAGTTTTAGTAACTAAAAATGGGGTGTGGGTCTTACTCAGGGATACAATTTCAAGAAAAATATTGACTAAAAAACCCTGGTGCGCGTCTTACTCGGGGATACAATTTTATTTTAAAAAATTTGACAAAAAAGCACTGGCGCGTGTCTTACGCGAGGGCGCTTGGTACTCCATAAATACTGTACGGTTAGCTCTACTTCCAGACTAAAAATACTTGAACTATCTACAGTTCACTGACAAGAGTTAGAATCCCGATTTCTATCGGAAATGTTCGAGGACTTCAAGTCGTGTATCTGAAGAAAGGAATCAGGAGTAGAGTTCATGGACTTTCCCCCATCTTGAAGAACGTTACGAAAATGGGCCCTTCATTCGCAGGATTAGCTTAGCATAGACGTAGGACGAACTTGTTCGAAAGTTGCTTGAAATGACAGAAATAGCCGACTTCGCTCTCGAGTCGATCTCCACAATCGACGTAACAACTGTGTTCTTAGCCCCACACAAAGTCACCGATCAACGCTGTCTCACAATTCGCAGCGATTCACAGGAGTGAACGAGGCAAGGGCACCTTCAACGACGTAAGTTTGGCAAAAGGAAACCCAAGCCTCTCAAATCACCATTACTTTCTTCCTTTCCTCGTGTCTTAAACGCAACCGGAAAGGAATTTGGATTTCGATAATTACTTCAAGATAACATCCAATGACGCGGAATCAAACGACAGTTCGAAAGCACACAGGAGTAAATCAATAACGAATCGAGAGAAGGAAGCGAAAAACCGAATGACAAATTTAGAGTGGAATTCACGCACAGATGGAGGTCCAGTCAGATCTTCCATCAAAATCAAATATCACAAGAGAAACATGCCAAATAATTTTGAACACAGAAAACAGCGACAAGAGGAAACAATTCGTTGGCGCGGAATTCAATCCAAATTCGTAACCTAGGATGAGCACCTGGTCACGAAACAGCACTGTCGATTCTGAAGCTGTCATCCGACTGAGAATCACTCTCACGGGTGTGATCAAACGCTTCGAAAAGCGAACAGAGACCGTAGCCCTTCTTCTGAAAATCATCCAGAGTCAACGAGCTTCGCTTTTTGCCCATGAAATTCCTCAGAGATGGCAGATTTCGCACAACGGTTTCCTGCTTATACAACTGACTCAGACCTTTTCCGATAACCTGGAAGGAACCAGAGTTTTGAGTCATTTGAATCAAGTAAGGATTGACAATGGACTAACGCGTCTCAACAGTTTTTTCATCATTTCTTTCTTCGGCTTGAGCTGCTTTACATTCCCAAAGCACGTGCTATGCGACTGACCATCACCGTTCGAGACTGCACCTGCAGCAACCATTTTTTCTTCGTATCGATTCAATTCCGCTTCAGTCACTTCCGGAAGTTGTAATAACATCTGTTTGAAATAAAGCATTGAACAGATGAATCACTGAAATACCGTCATCCCTTTGAATTAGGAATGTGAATCTGCACGATGGATCACGTAGCCTCCTGAAAAAAGGGTACATTTTGGGCGAAAAGAAAACAGTCGCTGAAAAGCACGATTAAATTTTACACAGGGCTGTTTGCCAAGTTGAACATCGCACAGAATTGAAATTCGGAACATTTCCAAGGTTTTCTTAACTAATCAAGATGAGACTGGATGTAAAGAGCAGAAATGATTTTCTTTAATTACTGCTTTCAAAAAAATACTTTCCTCAGAAATGTATTAATGTACACGTTTCTCAACAGTTCTTACGAGGAATTCATGACCCATTCCAAAAGAAACTTTCTCAAGTTACTACGCTACGGAATGAAAAAAAGGCTCGAATTAAAAAAAACTCACACTTCGCAGAACTGGGAAATCACGACGAAGGGCATCGTACAACGTGACAGCAAGAATGATGAGTGATGCAACATTCGCATCATGCTCTCCGTGAACTTGAAGACCTGAAATCACCGAATTCAGCAAACCTTCGGCGATGGTTGGATTTATGCCGTATTGGACTGGATTTTTGGCCAGATAGTGTAAAATTGGTTTGCAAATCCCTGCCGCTCTCGACGATGCCGTTGAATCACCCCAGCTTAAGGCTCTGTGAACAAGTCATACCTCATCAGGGTACGATTTGACTTCCAGTGGTCTAATCCGCGTGAAAACGACTTCCTCCTACAGCAGTTATTTATACCGTACAACAAATGCCTGTTAAAAATAAGATTAAGAAAAAAAATTGAGAACGGGTCCGAAGTATGGATCAGGCGATAAGGGTAATAAACGCATTAGCATTCGAACTTCTGTCATTTGCAGGTTACGGCGTCATTTCGGCGTTTTTTCTCTTGTTGTTTTGACATTCATTTTCCGTTTCCGTCGCTCAGTGAGTTCATATGAAGTACTGGAAAGATAGGTCCTTCGACGAATGATCCTCGCGCGGAACCAATACTACAGTATTCTAGATCGCGAACGCATCAGTTCTTCCCACTCATATTCGTAAGATAAAATGCGTTCTACAAAAATGATGTCCGTTCGCCCACTTGAAAGAAACACTTTTAGAAACGAATTGCGGTCATTGCATGAGGTACCACCGTTGTTGGGAGCCACCATAGAAATTCCTTCATGATCAGAACAATAAATTGCACAGCAACGAACCTGAAACAAAGAGCGAGCAAATTCTCCCGTATGAGTGGATCCTCAAACAGCAAAGCCCCACGATCAGAGAAACTTTCCGGTGGTCGTTGATCACCCTTCCTTTTTCCTGCTTGCGTTTCATCGTCTAAATCGTCGGGCACTTCACCTTCACCCAAACTCTGTCGTCTAGATTGATCACCGGGTCCTTTGGATGCCACCCACGGTGAAGAAAACGGTTCGATCAGCAGAAACCTAACTATGTCCAGCACATCTCTGGAGAGCATTCGTCGCAGCTTGTCTTCAATAACTTCCTGTAAAGCAAGGCATTCAAACTGGTAAAGTTGAACTGCGATCACTCAAACCTCCAGGAGTCGAATACAGTACTTCCCCATGCAAATTTTTTTTTCCAGTCCCAGACTAAATTTCCTCAGAAACAATGCCTTACAATTCTCAATAATGTAACTCAAAAGCCTTTTCCCTTAACCCCCATATCTCAAAAATGTTTTGAGTCCACTAAGATATTATTTTATTGATGCAGGAAAGAGAAAACATGAACAAATGTAACGATGCGTTTTAGAAAAACTAATATGGAAAAATTAACCCTCACCTCCAAGTTCAGCATCCCGTCAATTCATTCAAGTACAAATTTCAGACTACAGTGTAGCCAATTAAAATTTCCCTTGATTCAACCTCTTCAATTAAAATTTATTTGCTGGTCCCTTGAAGCTCGACTGTACTCATGAGATTTCTTTACATCTCAAATCATGATACAGATTTTCAACAAAAACAATAGAAGTATTAATGATTCAGCGAAGAACAGACGACGGACGGGTCGAAACACAAAATTCTGTTTTCTGAGTTTACCTGCACATCATTGCCATCCTCTTCTGCTTCTTGGGCGAAGCGATCGCCACTTCCGTTCGTAGTAACTTTTACCGCCTTGTCCCAGTTTTCGGCAAGCTTCCAATTCACTGTCAGCAAGTATTAGCATTACAACAAATATCCAAAGGAAACAGGTAAAATCTTTTTTTGTAAACCTACAGAATCTTAGCAAATCTGCGAAAATAGGCTTGCAGAAGTTGGTGAGTTCCGAGCGAGGACAATGTGTGAGAAGAGGACGCAGAAACGAGCGCAGGACTATTTTGATCCAAGCATCCGGCAACATTTCAAAGCCAGCCAAACCAACGTTTGTGATAACTTTCACTCCAATGCCACCCGTGGTTGAATTCAATGATTCCGATGCGGCAAGTGCAGGAAGACTGGAATAAAACTCCGGGCCGAATTTTGGACCACAGCTCCCAAGAAGTATCACCAATTCTTCGTAGGCATTCAGAATGAAACTCTGCATCTTGTCGGCAGCCGGCTGTTTCAGTGCATGAATAAAAGAAAAAGCCGTTTATGATTTAACCAGTGACATAAGCGGCATTGTCATTAGCTACAGTCAGACTAGATAAATTTTACACTGCAGTAAATAAGTAAATTACGATAAATGATGCGAGACGAATAAACAGAACATTCACAGAAGACTCATTTCCCACTATCTGATTCAAAGGAATATACAAGAGGTGTCCAACAAATTATCTCGAGATAATAATTGAAATGGCACGTGATTGAGCTGAAGAACAATGATTGTTCAGATAGAACATTCCTTGGCACAAGAAAAAACAGGTCAGTCCGGTTTGAGACTTTTTTCGGAATTCTTTTGCAGAATTCACAGTGGCAGTTCTGTGCTCTTCACTCCAAAGAAAAGTTGACCATCTCGCGGATTTTTTTTTTTTTTGTTTTGTGGCGCACCCCAGCTTTTCCTCGAGGAATTTTGACATTGACAAGGCATCAATGCTAAGAGCTGGCGCCATTAATGAATTAATAATGCCGCCATTTCCATTAACAGCTGCCTCATTTTCATCAAGTGGCAGTTGTGAAGGCGGCTGTTAATGAAGATGTTAAAATTATCTTGGAAGACCCGGATGCATCATAAAAAGGTGTCGTGGGTATGAAAAAAAAAAAAAAGAACATACCTTTTCTCCACCTTCTACGCTATCTCCTGTAATGCCGAGCAGAGAATTTTTCTCAGCATCCGACATTTCGTAGATCTTGAGCAAATCGGGGTGAACTCGGCTTCTGGCCTCTGGATGCCAGAGAAGGTTCATAAAACCGAACAATCGGAACAAGAACGGCAACATAGGTGCAACGTGATGAAAGGCTGGATTCCGAGGAATATTGGCAGACGACGAAAGGTCTTCCCCATTTGCAGGGACAGCGTAGCCGCCTTTCACAGCCAATTCACGGTTATGCGGCCACGCAACTCGTCGGATTATGCTTCCCATTAAAGACACACAGTACGACATCTGCATAAAAAACGGAGTACATCATAAATACTCACGAGAAAATATTCTATTCGTTTTTATTAAACCTTCAAGTCGAGATGGTAGCGAGCTTAAACCCAATTTCACGTGAACTCAACGAACGCTTCAGCATCATTCGACGCAACAAAAAAACTGGCACACAACGACTCCTACCTGCTGTCTGTTCACCGCTTGTTGATCAGCCAGCTGCACGAAGTTGAGATCACCCCGGTTCAATCCGATATACGAAATGAATTGCAAAACGTCGTCGACGCTTCTACTAAAAGTTCTCCATTCTTCATCCAGGTGATCTCTCACAATTTCTCCCACGAACTGGAATTGCCGAGTGAAGTCCCCCATGGAATTGCTCAAAAGAACAACGGTCTCGAACATCTTTCCTTTTTCGCTTTTTGAAAGTTCACCGACTCCAGCCAAACGACTGCGAATCAGACCAAACCAAAAGCTAATGATTTGAACGATTCAAGATCTGAAGCCTCATTTTTACAGTTGACAGATGCCTCTGTAGCACATACGTGTTTCGCTCTACCAGTACTACCACAGTAAATTTCAACAGGTGACGAGAAAAATGTTGAATGCACTGTAAATATTTTTTCAATTTCTTCGAAAATAACTATTTTCGAGCAAAAAGAGGAAAACAGGGCTTCATTGAGAGAAAACATTCGGTACTCACACAATCGTTGAATACAGATCCGCGAGAGATGGACACAACATTTCTGGATGCTTAACAGCCAGCTTCACCAACAACGCTTGCGCATGCCTTCTAACCTGAAGAACATCTTTCGTTCTGGCAGCATTTTGACCACCAAACGAAACAGCGGCGAATATCTGGCATTAAAGGACGTTCATCCACATTTAAGCATCACATTCTCACACGGAAAGAAATATTGTATCTTTTGTTCGTTCTAATGTACCTTATTCAACGTCGGTACGATCTGCTCAGGGGCAAATTCAACAAATCCGAAGAGTGCCGAGATGAAAGATAAAAATGGAGAAAGAATGACTGGATCATCAGTATTGAATGCCAAGCACATCTGCAACATTTCTTTCCCTGAAGTAGAAAAACCAAAGCACTGTCAGCACAGCGCGACAAACTTCACCGAAAACACGATCAACAGTACCAGCTATCAAGATGTCAGCGACATTGGGTTCCTTCAAAATCCCTTTTTGGCGCATTTCGGTGACAGAAGCATCGACGATTGCAGCCATGGCTTCCCAGTTAGCGACAGCATTGGGGTTTGGATTCGACATCAAATGCAGAAGAGACTCTTTCATGAAGCTCATGCTCAGCTTCGGCACAGCAACGGCAACAGCTCTGAAGGTCAAGAGGCTTTCCCATTTCAGCTTGTGGAAGGCGAGGTTGAACTCGTCCTCGGCGTCAAAATCCAGTCGGGAGTAGTGACACGTGACGTGATCATGACGGGAAGGGTTCCCAACTTTAACAAGCTATAGTGAAAATACCGAACAGAATATAATTCTGAATAATTCGAGAAGACAAATCTCATCCCATCAAGTGACGAAGATTGCAAAATCATCCGTTTCGAGCAACAATCTTGCTTCATTCGACACAAATCGTTCAAAAACCTGCACTGCATTTTCACGGCCGGAATAGGAACAGATGACCACTTCGAGAACATAAGAAGTCGCAAGTTACGATGAATTCTGAGAGAAAAACAGACAAATTTGTGTGCTGATTTCGGCGGGCCACTATTCACTTTGGAAAGTAAATTATGCGAGGAAGTAAAAAAAATCAAAGTAGCTCGATTACGCCATTTCCGCGCGTACCTTCCAAAATAATGTTCAATGTTGAAGATATATGAAGGATTAAAAGGGTTTCAGCTTTAATCTGATTCACCAGAGACTTTTTCGTTAAACGTGACTTTTACAGACAGCTGTTGAGACAAAAATATTGGATCTGCTTCCATTCTTCAGTTGAAAAAAAAAGTGAGAGCTGGATCACTCAAGATTTGTTTCAGACGCAACTCCTTATCCTTCAGGCTCTCATCTTCATGCAGAACTTCAACCAACTTTTATATATCACATCGAATTAAAATACGATTCGGTAGTGAGAAAAATGAAAGCTAAAGACTTACCCGTACGGCTGCTCGCCTCATCCACTCCAAAATTACCGGCTGCATCATCGAATCCCTCGTAATCTTCTCATTATGCAAAATTTGGCTCCAAGCTGCTACAGAGTATCCGTAGATAAGCAAACTTGGATGCTGCATCATGTCCATCAGGAATGACATGACTTCGTTGAAATTTTCCGGCTGGCTTCTTTCAACTGGTAACTCACTCGAGCCCCAAACTGAGACCAAATGCTGACCCAAGATGCAAACGATCTGGCACACGAATTTTGCAAACCCATAATACTCGGACGTAGATTCCGGCGAAAGTTCCCGAATAACATTTCTACACGCTGAACTGATACCGACCCAAATCGATTCACGCATCAGTATCAGGGGAGCTGCTTTGCCTTCAGCTTTGACGAATCTTCTTCCACAGAACTGGCGAGAAAGACGGAAACGAACGAAAGTAGTGTTGAATAATTATCAATCTACCAATTCAAGAAGCTAAACATAATTCGAAGTCGACGATCTGATGTCTTACCAACAAAAGACATTCAGCAGCGCCATAACGCAAATCTGAATCATCCAAAAGAGAGGAGATCATCTGCAAGAGTCGTCCATCCTCGTGAATTATTTGAGCAACCGGGACCCATTCGATGTAAGCGGAAATTGTCGACAATACAGTCTAAAAAAATGTATATATTTTGAAACTTGCATGCCAGTGCGCACGAGAAAATCGTCACATACCTGAGCAACTTTCACAACCGGCAACCCTGCAATGGTCTTACGATCCATTTCGGACATGAGCTTCATAGGTTTGCAAAATCTTTCCAGAGACCTCATGAAGAAATCAAAAATTTCCCTGATCTGCACCGAGAGTGCTTGTTGGATTTCCCTCCGCCTGACAGAATTTTCTATAGTCTAAAAAAAATGCTTTAACGGTGGAAAACAAAACAAAGCCATAAACAAACTCACCTGCAAGACAGCAGTGTCTTCACCGAGTCGCAAGAAAAACAACAACACAAGTTCATGTTGAATTTCGCCTCCGTTCAAACAAATTTGACTGAGTTCTGTTAACATTCCGGGCCATTGTTGGGGCCATTCCCTCTTCGCAATCTCAACGATTAGTCTAGCGATACCATCCTGAAGTGACAGCATAAATAAATTATCCATTGCATCGGAATCATTCAGAGAAACTTTTTTCTATTACCTTGATCAGAGTTTCTTCGCAGGTAAATCCTTTCGTGCCAACATTTATAAGTTCCAAGCTTTTATCCTGAAATAATGGACGAATTAGCTAGTGTACAGTATGCTCATGTGATAATACATCAGAGCTCAGAGGAGTACCTTCAAAAACAGCTTTTCGCCAGCAGTCATCTGGTTCCAGCAAAATTTTATCGCATGCTCCAACATGTGCAGACCAAAATGCCGCACAGCAGTACTATACTCCAAACGCTGGGCAAGTCTTAGCCCACAGAATACACATAGCGGACCATGCTTTATATCTTCCGCCACTCGAACTGCGGCGATTCTATTTTGATTCAGAGTTGCAGGATCCAAGGAGCATTCAACAGCAGCTACCAACTGCTTGCACGCGTCTTCGAGTTCCTCTTCGGACATTTCGCAAAGGACATCTAAGCCGAACTGTAGGAAAAAGGCAACATCAGACTTTTCATCAGATGCACTTTCGATAGGGACGGAACGCGGAGCTATGCGGACTGATGAATGTTTACACTTTTGATACTCTCAAGTTTTAGTGCAAATGCATCGATGTACAGCCCCATCGAATTCAGGAAAAACTCTTTCACTCGTACACAGGGACGTATCAATTCGTAGAATGCTTTCTCGTAATTCACAGGTGCCGCTTTTGCGGAGGCAACCGTACACCCATGGCGATGAACTCTAGCCCTCTAGTCTGTACAATCTCAGTCGGCTGAGAATGCAACCATCAGATGACCTCTTATCTTGCATGCAGGTCACCGAAAGACGAAAGTATTCAAGGATACTGTTGGAAATTTTACTCATGTTCGCATTCCCCAAGACCAAGCTCAGCCTTCCCGAGGGCATCATTCACTAACATTATTGGGGTACACCGTACGCTAATGAGCACTTTGCGTCGTGGATCGCAAGTGTTGACAGGTGGAGGTACGGTATGCTCAACGGTATTGAAGTGCCGTATTCCCGAATATGACTGCAGTAGCTGCAATCATTCCATCATCAAAATTTTTATCTCTCTCCCAGCGATTGAGTGAATCTTTTAAAATGGGTAAAAATAAAGAATGCTGCAAAAATACTGACATGATATGTGCATGTTAACAAAATAGGAGCCTTTGGAAAGAAATTAGTCTTTGATTTAAACACGATTTTGTCCTCTTGGAGATTCACAAATTGAAAAAAGCACAACATCCTCGCGGACTTCGAATTTGCCGAGCAAAGCCAAAATATAAACCTTACGTAATTTGGGAATATTAGATGCATCAGGCTGGCATCAGCTAGCAGCAAGACTGCAAGAGGTGTAAAAGGGTTGGCCTCACATGTTTTACAGAGCACTTATTGAGGAGTTATACTTTTTAAATTTCAAGTGCATGATCACTGTGATCTTGAACGCTTCTCTCACTTATCGGACTTATAAAAACCATTTTCCATCGCACTGCTGATGCAGGCTGATATATGAAAACTTCACAATGGCAGGGGTTTCTATAGGCATGTATTTTGGTGTATGCTAACAGTTTCAATAAAAATTTATTCTCAGCTAGCTAGCTAATATGAGAGTGTATTTCCTAGCCAATAAGAGAGGGTATTTCCTAGCCAATAGGAGGTGGTATTTTCGAGCAATGAAATTTACTTACTGGAAATTTTGAAATTTTCTAATGAAATAATGAAAATTTGGGATGAAGCTGATGAACAATTTTTCTACAATGGGTCAATGGCCCAATTAAGTGCAGAGGAGGGCAGCTTGACACATGTGCTGCGTGGCATTTTACCCATGAATAAAAAAAATCGTACATTACTTGGCAAGTTTTTCCAGCAACAAAGAACTAGCATTGGGGACAAATAAGTTTAATTGATTCAGGAAAACGTACAATCTTGTGTAGAACACATTTTTCTGTACTGTATAACAAATTAGTTTTTTGTCTTAAAGGGTACATCTCCATGATATACTGGACTTACTGGTTTTCTATGACAAAATCCTCTTTACAATGCATTTTTTCTGGTCCTTTCATCCTTTGAGCTTTGTTGTACAGAGAAAGTCTATCATGCAGCTAATGTATCAGAAAAGAGGAAAAAGACAGCAGCAAGCAGATAACAAGGTGCACAAATTGTGAAGAAGAAGCACATTTTCTTCTGAGAAATGTAAGTAATCAGATTTTACATGTTTAATCTTTTCAATCAAAGCGGTTCTGATGCTGGATCAGCTGGAGTATAGTGCCCTGCAGCTGCTCGTCAGAATTTAAAATATTGTGGGGATAATAGAAAAAAAAATAATTTGAAAGAAATCTCAAAAATTCAACTGTCAGATGAAACAATTAACATGCATCCAAAATTATAAAATTGGTCTCAATTATTTGTTTATGCATCTACGTAAACTATGGACATAATTTTTTTTGTAGAATGCATTCATTCTTTCAAGGGAATCTCAAGAGAAAGGAGACTTACATGCAATACAGGTATTTTAATATGCCGTTGTGAACAGAAGTCCATGCATGATGATTTGGCAATATTAATATTGCGAATGACAATTTCCAATAGGTTTGGAAATTCTGAATAGTCAACATACAATGCCGGTCTTTTTCACATCCAAAGCAGAAAGAGTGTAAAAATTTCCGGAGTTTTTTGTATGCTGTGATGTATTAAAGGGTATCTGCTCTGATAATTTTTTCAAGGAAGGGTGTGTGATTTTTTTTTACATTTTATTCCAAATTCCTTTCCCCCCTTTTTGACAAGTTCTTACTGCTGATGATCTGTGGGATAAAAATTATTGTCGCGGTTGAGAAATGACTGATGATGAAAGTATATGAGACAAAAAAGGACAAAAATAAATGAAGAAAATTCATATAAAACATCTTAAAGATTCAGATTCCTGCACATTACAGTTTTTCAAAACATTCAAACACGAAATCGTGGAAGTACATGGCGACCCAGCCTTTTTACAGTGACAAATTCCCTTGTCCATGGTCAAATACCATGTTTAACAAAATTCGAGGAACGTCACAGTTAGGTCCTCAAGTGAGGCACGCACCTGCTGTATATAAGGCCTCTTGGTTTGTTGTAAGAAATTTTGAGAAAGAACATACCCTTTGATTGATTTAAAACATCCGCCAATATTGTTACTCAAGTCAAAAGTTTTAATGTTGTGAAACTTTCATGAATAAAAATAGGTCTTCGAACTGAAATGCAAGATTACTTTATTTTTTCCACTCATATTTGCTTCAAAGTTGACACTGCGTAATATAGAGGATGCACAATTTGTACAAATGAATCTTTGGAAACGTCAAAAGCAGAAACAATTTTATTCAAATTAAAATATCTCACAAACTTTACATACTCCCCCGAGTTAAAAAATAGAACACGTGACACATTTTATTTGAGTATAACTTCAAATTTGTTCTTTAAATTTCATAATATTTTTGAAAATTTTATTGAAAATCCAACGCGTAAGACACAGAGAAAACTTTATCCTGCATACGCATCAGCAAGTACGATGACCACCTCATTTTTAGTTTGGAATATTAAATTAAAGGTACACATGGTATTAGGTACTAATTGGGTATTCAATATGGTAGCATGTTTTAATTCTTCCATTCCACTAGCATATACGTGTGCGCTTCCTGGAAATTATATTCTGATAATTATACGTCTTACATGTCATACAGCAAATACGGTACATGGTAAATTATAAATATCAAATATTATTACTGTATAATCCCTATAAAATGATCACCCCAGATCTTCCAAGAATATCAAGCAACTCTCGCAACTCATTCCCATTACATCTAGTATATTGCATCAAAATTAGCTCATCTGCATATACATCCCTTCACAAGTCTTTATAATCCAAGTCATAATTAAACCACTTTCCGCAGCATCCCAACATGCTGTGTCCAACATCAGAAAGCAATCACGGAGGCAATGGTGATTGCATGACGAGTTCATCTTCCCTGACACACGATTCTTATCAATTCGAACTGCACAACGCTGTGAAAATGAATGACACCGAAACACTCTTCCTAGGATCATCACAAAGAAAACTTTAAAAATGCCTCAGTTGCCAATTTTATTATGGTAATGTATAGGGTTCTATTGTATTGATTCTATTTTAATACCAAAAATTTGACTAAATCTTATCCTGCCAGTGCTCAGGTGTGGCTGGGCAACCTCCCCTAGTAATCCCTATAAAATGATCACCCCAGATCTTCCAAGAATATCAAGCAACTCTCGCAGCTCATTCCCATTACATCTAGTATATTGCATCAAAATTAGCTCATCTGCATATACATCCCTTCACAAGTCTTTATCATCCAAGTCATAATTAAGCCACATTCCGCAGCATCCCAACATGCTGTGCGGTTGTAGTCTTTCGTTAGTGCCTCCGTTACCACTAACGTACTGCTCAAGTAGAAGGGACTGTGTGCTAAGAATAGTTAAGCTTGACGTGTTGCGACACTTTTACTTACTGTGGCTTTGTGAGAAGGACCTTCTGAGTCTGTCGATCGATTCCGCCGATGACTTCCGCACACTCGTAAACACAAAAGACAGAGATGGACAAACGGCGATGCACATTGCGGCTTCCGAAGGTTACGAAGATTCCGTCGAGCTTCTTCTGGCTGCTGGTGCTTATCCAACGATGGTGGACGATTCTGGAAGAACCCCATTGGGCCTGGCGAAGGAGAATCTGCACATGGGAGTCTGGCAGATTCTGGAAGATGCTGGAGCAAGAATTAATCCAGAAGAAGAAAAGTTAGTCACCACTGTATACAAATCCAGAATAAGAGAGCTTTTATCGTCATATTCAGCAGCAGACCGAAGACATCCATTTTTTTATTGAAAAATCAAATTGGCTCTCCAAATGAGTTTCTTGAAATTTTGTTTAGCGAAACACAATAGAAGACATTGTACTGCACTTATATAAGTCATATGTGATATAAGTTATGATGCGCACCCCATTTTTGCTTTGCAAATTTGGGGGAAATGATGCTTATGAGCTGTGCTGGTAAATATAATGGGTAGCAACGGTACATTTTCAAACGATGTGTCACAATTTTAAGCCCAGGTTTTAGCTTGACTGCTTGATGACGGACGTCATTTCATATCCCACGGCGTGATAAGCTTTTATTTCTGTTCATGAACAGCAAGCGAAATTACTGTACAGTAATAATGTTTCAATAAACGTCAGAACTTTCAGAAGTCATGTGCAGATGATATCCTCTGCTGCTGATCTCAAAACAATTCCCGCACGTATAGATAACAGAAATTCCGGGGAATCAGAATAACTTGCTGGAATCAGAACTTGCTGTCATATATTGCGAACAAACCCAAACTCAATCCATTCGTATAGAAGAGTGTACAATATTGTACTGTATAAAATTATGATGGCGGTTTCCGCGTTTATATTAATTACGAAAATTCGCATAACCCAGGTTCGATGAAAAATACTGGATCAAATGCATCCATTCAGCAGCAACTGAAAACAACGTAGAAGCAATCGAGGAGCTTCTTTCCATGGGCCTTGTGAAAAACGTTGATGCCCAGAAATCAATTGCCACGGACGACTCACCCTTGGTCACATCTCTCCGGAACTCCAACCACGAAACAGCAGAATTTCTTCTGGACCACAATGCGTCAATTTTAAGGCGTCTTCGCGACGGACGCACGCCTCTGCAAGTCGCAGTCGAAACCGGGGATTCACAGAATGTAGCCCTGATTTTGAAATACGCAGAAATACGGGGACAAACGGAACAATGTCTACAAGAACGAGACCAGAGCAAACACACAGCACTACACCGTGCTTCTCAGCAGAACCTTGAGATTATTTTTCAGGTCCTTGGAGCTGGCGGTGACATCTACGAACCTTTGCCTAATGGAAAAAGCTTGGCCGAAAGCTCGGAGCACCCGAACAAATCACTGTTCCTCCTTTGGATCACACTGCGGACAATTGTAGACTCATTGTCGAAAACGGAGAAGGTCGCTGGCGATCTTATGACAAATCTCGATTTCGCTGCGGAGCTTGTGAATCGTGCTCCGGTGCCATCTCCTGCGCCGAAGACTGGGGAAAAACTACAATTAGACGCAAATTCATTGTGGGACGAGTTCCGCGGAGCAGTTGGTACATTTATTTTCTTCATCGTAAATCTCCATGATAGAACTGTATCAATAGAACCACTCGTTACCTGCTAGGAATAAGATTTTCACGTTTTTGTGAGTGTTGCCTTTTTTCATCACTCATTGGATCCCGTCCTAATTGGGAGTTTTCTAGTATAAAGAATAAGGCTCTATTTTGGGGGTTGATAATATGCACAATTCGTAATAAAGTATTGTACTGTGCTCGCTGTAGTGTTCGTATCGGCTGCGCAGACTTGATTTTTTCTTTCGATTGAGAAAGTATACTCCTGATGTTCATCTGATGGTGACGAGAGAAAAGTGTCTATACGAGAGGCATCCGTTATAAGGAGAGAAGCACTGAGTCAAAAATATGACAAGTTTGAATTGAACATCAACTGTATGAAATGAGTGCGCGGTAATGCAGGAAGAAACAAGAACGCATATATGACCGATCTTTTCATCAAAAAATGAAATTTTTGTCACGAATGTAACACTTTTCCGTCGAAATAAAATTGGAATGATAAATACACACGCTATAGAAAGTTCTTCACGTTCCATCAGCGGCTAACGACTCCGAAACAGTATTGGAAATCATCGATCAGTTCTGCGCTGGAGGAGAGATACCGAATGAGACGAACGATCAGCTTCACATTTTATCCAAAGCTCTGCTTCACTATTCTCGCCATGGTGATGACTTCAGAGTACTGCAGACGTTGCTCCGACAGGATCTCGTGGATGTTAACGTCACGGACTCCAGACTCAATACACCATTGCATATGGCAGTGCACAACGGGACACCTGCATTTGTGGCAGCATTACTTCACGCTGGAGCCAATGTTTCGGCGTTGAATGATGCGTCTTTGTCGCCTTTGGACGTCGCGATGTTTCGAAGGATCGGAGTGGAAAGCCGTGACGACATGGCTGTGAAGAGGAGATGCGCGGAAGAGATGGTTGAGTTCGTGGGCGGTGACGCGCTTCCTGAGGAACATTTTGAATTCATCAAAGTGATTCTGCTTTTTTCAATATCGTGTAAAAATAGTACAGTATTTGTTCAAAATAATATAGTACTGTATTTCAGCATGAGTTTTCCCCAGAAGTTTAGCGATGTGTCACTGTTGAAAGTAACTAAGCTTTTCCTTCAAAATTCTTGACATCGATCATTAATAGACGTTTTGGATGAGGATGTGGCGGCTGAAAATGCGGAAAGTACTTGGAAAACCAGGAGGCAACCCTTGGAATTATAATGCCGTGTCTATTCCAAGAATTCTGAAGAATCTAAGCTGCACCATAAATCTGCGAGACGGGTGCCTCATCTTTTGATTGAGGAGCAGAAAGCTGCTGAGGCGACTTCTTACAAAATTTTCCACAAAAAAAAAGCCGAACAGGGCTCCATTTTTCTCTTGTGCCAAAAAGAATTATTTCCTGAACAGTAATTGTTTTTCAGTTCAATTGTATGCCTTTTAATTTCTTATTCTAACATCTATTCTTAGACCCCTCGTCTTGCGTTTAGTTACCTAGTGACTAAGCCGAAGTGTTTCTTCAAGTTTTATTCAATTGTGTAGGACATGGTGGAATAATTGTGTGCAATTGTGTAGGACACAGTGCAATAATTGTGTGCCATTGTGTTGGACTCACCAATGTTTGCGGGAAAGCTCCCACTTCATTTTTTTAAATTTTCAACAAATGAGGCTGTCATGAATGATTCTGAAAATTTAAATTTCAAAGTGCTTTAGAATGTTTAAAATTACCACGAGTTTTTATGGGCATGTGAGTCTCAGTAATAACTCCAGTATAGTTCGAGGAAACGCCTAGGTATTGAATGGATGTTTGCAAAAGACGTGAAATGTCAATGGAGTTTTTATTCTCCACATTTCAGATACTGGAGAATGAGAACATGGAGCAGATAATACAGGAGATCAGGCAAAATCCGGAAATTTGCTCTGCCGTTGACTTCATGGGCCGCGGACCCTTGCATTGGGTCGCAGACTTTCCGTACTGGGCGGAGGAAATGAAAACTGCGGAAATAGCGAAGGAACTCCTGCAAATCTGCGGAACCGATGCTGTGAAAAACACGGACAAGCGCGGAGACACGCCTCTGCATTTAACCCGCAAGCCTTCCCTTGTCAAGTATTAAACCTTATTCAAATGCACACCCCCCTCCCCCCTCTCGTCACATTTCTGTTGAAGAGTTTTGTTTTTTGTCGAAATTCTGCAGAATGGTTTAGATTGTACAGGGTAGGTGAAGAAGAATTCTTGTTTTTTGTATCGGCACACTTTTTACAATAACATGTGAAAGCTCGACGTGATTTATTAAAATACTGTACCAAATTCAGGGTTGTTCAAATACCCCCATTAAAAATTGTGAACCAATTTTTCGTTCGGCAGCATATAGAAAGGCCTATCAACAGGTAATTTATAAATCGCCCATTTCTGAGCACAATTCATAGCAGGAGAGTAAACAGGTAGACTCCCCCTACAACAATTTTGTTAGAAGATAAATTTCTCGTTATAGCATAATTTTTGTTTACAAGCTTGTTCATTTTTTGACAATTTCTACATGTATGAACATCTCTCACAAACTTGGCTTTTTAAGAAAAATGTTTTCTTTTTATCTCCACTGCTAGCACAATACGACAAGTAAAAGCAGTAGAAAAACAGTGAAGAGCAATCTAATTTATCCGCAATGTGGTCAAAGTGTGAAGTTTATGCGATTCTGTAGCAAACAATTTTCAAGGATATCAATCACTGGCATCCATATTTTGATTATTTGGGAGGATAAACCTCATTCATCCTTTTAATTTGGTAGCTTTATTTTCTGAGCAAAAAATTACCAAGGCTAGGATTTCTGAAAAATTTCAATCACTTACTGCTTGGCGTTTATAATGTTCATTTAAAAATATTTGATCAATAATGTACTGTATATGCATCACCTGTATTTCGTTAGCCTTATACATCCTGGTCATATCTAGAAGCAAACATCGGAGGTGCTGTAACGTATCCATGATTATGTATTTTTGAAGTCGTTGCTTCATCTTTTCAGAATAAATCATTATTGATAAAATTATTCCTTGGTCCTTACTGGTTCGTGGAAATTCGCTCAATGCATTTGTGTTAAGATCAATAAATCACTGATCCAATTTCAGTTTCTTGCTGGAATCCGGGGCAGATCTCAAAGTCGTGAACAAGGCTGGTGACACGCCTTTTGACTGCATCCGAGCCGAGATGGAGATCTACGACCAGCCTCCGGTGTCGCTCGCATTCGACGACCTGGAGAAATACCCTGTTCAGCGAGAGCATAGAGACCTGATGATTAGTTTTAAAGAGCTGCAGCGACAGGAGAATATATTTCTGAGAGTGCAACGATCCGAGAGGATAAAATTCAATCCCCAATTGGAAGCTCAGCGCGAAGATTTCCTGGACCTGGAAAACAGTGTGATTGGACTGGAGAAGAGTATTGCCATGGCCAAGAAGGAGCTGGAAGAGGTTCGGGAAGCTTGAGAATTACTCCTGGAGGCTGAACTTAAGGACGTACTTGAGTTGACGCATTATTGTTTTCAAACCCCCATACTTTGTTTGACTAATACAGCCATACAATGGTTCTCGTATTTCATTTTGAATGGTTTTCTTTTAGCCTCTTGTATTAAACGTAGTTTTAAAAGTGTCGGAGAACAGACTGAAATACTTCCGAACAGTCTGACGACTACGTACTTTGGTTCGTTAAGTTTTGTTACGGAAACATTCACCTTATGGTATGAACGGACAAAAAATTTAATAATCTTGTCTGGATGCCATTCAAATCTGAGCAGTATTCATTAACGTTTATGTTAAAATTTTGTACAACCTAAAGTTCTCAAAACACGCATTCTGCATTCCATTTTCGAAAAACTCTTCTGCTAGGAAGCATGTTTCGCTTTTTACGATTTCTCCGCAAAGATTATTTTTAAATTATTATATCAGCTATTAATAATATGTGAGAACAGGTAGATACACTAAGCAGTATCACAACATTTACTTCAGCAATATATGCCCGTTTGTGAGGCATGCTCCAGTAGTTATGAATAGAAGCTTTGAACTTGATCCTATTAATCTGGGTTAGATGCAAATGACAGCTTTTTATCATCTTTATATTTTAAAAACTACTAGAATGAAAATCTGAATTTTGGGGCAAATTGATGGATCTGCTTTTTGTTCATTTATCCTTCATTTTATATCTTTAAACCACTTCATGGGTCCTGTGTTTATCTGCAGTTCAGCTTTGATTTGATCCAAAGCAGTATTACAGCTCTTTGTTTTGTTCATCTAATGAAATACTCATTTTGGAAAAGTTTGAATTCTGCATTCTGGGGGCTTTGAATAAGCACCATTAGCTTACAGGTGGACTCTCTCGACAACAAAACACAAGGGACCGGAGAACAAATTGTGGAGAACCAGTATAAAATGGGGAGAGAACCCCACAGGGACAAATTAAAATTCATTATTCAGATAAATTTGTTGCAGACAAGATCATTGTCAAGACTCAAGAGAGTCCACCTGTATATGAGATTGAGAAAAATGGCAGTTTGCATTCACAAGGATGGAAAGTACGAATTTTGTTGTCTAATTTCATCTTCAGATATCCCAAGCCACGTGTATAATGAGATTCTGTTGGAATTCTTTTCTTCTCTTTATTTTGGCAACTTATTTTCAGAGGAAATTTTTTCTTACTACTGTAGCAGCTATAATAAAACTGATAAAACATAGAAGCATGAACTATATACAAAAACAAATAAATATACACTAATTCTATCAATGGATTCAACTGATATTGGGATTAAACTTTTCAAGAATTTGCCAGCTGAACTTTTCCTCCTTTTTAGCACATAAGAAAGTGATCATATAATGTTCAATGGCATCTTTTGAATTCTAGTAACTTCGCCAATTAAAAACCACAGCATTTTAGCACCGAAATAGTAAGAAATGAAAGGAATATTCAATCGTTTTATATTACGATTCTGAAAAAATTTCACGCATCGTTTCAGCAGAAAAGAAATCAGGACAATTAAAACGCCCTTCCTTCGCAAAACGAAGACACACCACAGCAACGAACTCGGGATTCATGCCAGAAATCAGTTTGAATACCCCGCTTCACATCTTCCCGGAATACCTAAACGGAACGAGGAAACCGAAATGATACTATCCATGACCACAGTTGAAGTATCAACAAATGTATGCGTTTTGATCATGAAACAATATCTCATTGAATCATCGAAGGCTGCTGCTGAATACAGCTGAATTCGGGAGTTCAAGTAAACGCACTCAGTGTCAAGTCTCCCAAGTTGCGTTATCTGGTCCGCGTTCTAGAAGTGTTGTGGAAATGGGTACTGGGTGGGTGAACTTTATTAGTAACTAATGGCATGGACGTAGTTAGTACTTAGTGTTTTTCATCTGCTGTTGAAGCGTCAGCGCCTCGTCGCCAAACACACACTCCACGATGTCCTTCACGCGGTCCCACACAAGGTTATCCAACCCGCATCCGATCCTCGGCATCGCCAACTTCTTAACTCCGCGAGACACACATTCTCGCTTCAGCGACTTCAACGCACAAGTTAGGTCATCGTACGTAGGCTTGTCCCACGCACGAGACTTGGTAATGAGGTAATAGATGACCCTGTTATCACGAGCCGTGAGCACTGCGACTTCGCCGACGCGCTTTCGCTGAGCCTTCAGCTCAGACACTCCCCCATACTTGGCTTTGAAAATGGCCGCTATGCTTTTGCCCATGCGCACGTCCGCGCTGATGCAGTGCGCCAGCGCGAAGTCTTTCGGGGAAGCGAACAAATCGCCCTTCTTTTCTTTCACTTTCGGAGCCATCTGAACGGGCATACAGCATATGATAGCTGATCACTGTCGTCCAACACAATCCGAAATTCCTTGGGATTCAACAATTCGGACACCCGCGGTAACGAGACTCATCGAGTTCATTCGCGAAAAAATGACGGATTTCCTCATGAGTCTTGAAAATCGTCTACATTAACAGTTTGATAGCAGGCGGATGAAACCTGGTGGACCAAGTTTAACAACGTTTCGTCTAACTGTTGAAAGCATTACAAACCAGCAACATTGATGAAGTTGAGATACCACTGGAAGTCGTTTGAGGGATTCATGAAGCTGACCAATTAGCATTAGGAATACAGCACTCCGAAAATTTGCATGCTTGAGTCTAACCGCACTGATCCTCCGATCTAAGCCGGTATTTTTCCACATACTCTGGTATGCCTCCTCCAGGGATTCTCATCCGTCATAACAAGCTTCAATTTTACTGATAATTTCAAAGGCAATTCTTACTCATACGCTTTACATTCTTAAAATTCTCACACATATGCTTTTGAGTGATAAGGGACCATTTGCCCTCATCAATCAAGAATAATGATCTGAAACCGATAATTACGTCCAAAAAGTTCGCGAAGATTTCTAGCTTATCCGAAAGACCCGCCCTCAAGTCATACCTCATTGAACTTTCATGAATTGGGTAAATCTCAGACGTCCATGCCATCTTTCAATTGAAGGCAGAAGATAGAAGTCATAAAACCATATGGGATGGACCAAATAACCTCCATCAAATGGACAATATTCTACCGCTGAGGATAAGTTCAACGCAAGATGAATTAAAGCAAAACGTTGATAAGATGAAGTGAAAGGAAGAATACGGGACATTTTTCTCACGGAGCAGTCTTCACAAAATTGCACTCTTCACAAGGTTGATTCCACTCGGAAGAAAACAGACGTTAGCAGGCTCACAATGCCTTCGTTAAAAACGATTGAGTTCAATTAGGTTAACACATGGATACACTCCAAGAAAAAAAAAGATCGAATTTCAAGAATCGACTGACTAAAGCATCTTGATGTCACTATTTTCATTACACTTCGCACTAAAAGGTCTGAAAATTGCGGTTCGCCGATGATGCCGCGGCGTCTCATTTCCACGTAAATGCGAGGGATTCGCCCTCCGCACGTACTTTCAGATCAGCACTCAAATCACATACATGCAGACATTCGGAACCCCTGGGGTCTGAATTCAAACCACGTCACGAATATACAGTACTTTTCTACGTACGGTATTTTCTCATGCAAGTACTGCTCGACACAAAAATCAACCATCTTCGTACTGCAGCTCACTATCACCACCTAGGAAAAGAAGCATTCAAATGACTCATTCATCCAAGCTACGAATTGAAGGAATTTCGCAAGTTCTGAACTAACAGCTGCCACGCGGAAAATCGTCAATTCTACGAAGCAAGATGAGTCGAGAATTATCCACACTTCTGCCATTTCGTTTAGCCGAACTGTTCCTGTTCGGCGCAGATTCCACTGTGGTCATTTGGAGAAGAGCCGACATTGGTACGGAAATATATTTCTCACTTCAGTTGAAGTTAAACCGTGCCAAATTTATATTTCCAAGCATATTAATGAGGAACGAAGAGAAATGATGACAACGTGATTTCTTTGGCCCGAGGTTGAAAATCATAGGTTTCAAGAAATTTTCAAGTTTTTAATTACAATAGAACTTAGACTTCGATCAACTACGCCTTTGATCGACCGTATGCATGAATAAATTTTTGTCGGTGGGAACAGAATGAATAATTCAACTTCATTTTCAATTAAGACGACTCGCATTTTACACGGAAATTCATGTAAAATACGATCTACACGTTACGCAACAAAAAGCTGCAGATTAAAAGGTTACATGATTTCATGAGAAGCAAATAAAAACTTGCGTTCCATGGAATAACGCATCAACTTCCTAAAATAAAAAAAGAACCAGTTTGGGAGAACATCCGGGTAACGAGTAACTCAGCAAGATACAAAGGCATCTTGATCTCAAGGGAGATCATGTATCATTGTAAAAAATAGGAGAAGATCGTCATTGTAAATGCGAATCTTCCAAGTTTTCGTTTAACCCGGCTAAGAAACCAGGTCATTACCAAAATCGATGGTTTCCTCCGGCTTTATGGCAAAGTTGTGGATAATTTTGACTTATCAAAAGAAAAGATCATCTCTTGACCACTTAGGTTTAAAAAAAATATTGACGAAACTCACGACGTGCATAAAATTACCGATGCGAGCAAGATGCTATAGGCAGAAGCGGAAGAAAAAAAAACCAGCGGGGCCAGGGAAAAGACGAACGCTTTATTCCCCGATAGTGCTCACGAGTCACGAAGTCTACGAATTCGAGTTCGGACCCTTTTTGCGGCCGAAGGACTGGACAACGTTCACAAACCGACGGTTATACTGCATTCGACGCTTAGCACGGCCGGTCTTCTGCTTCTTTTTTTCTTGCTTGTCCACCTGAAGAATGTACAAAAAGTTCCGAAAATTTGAGCTAATGGGTACAAGTACTGCATCGGAGAATTTCATGGAAGTACGATAAAATACGAAATAATCTCAGAACTGGGTAGGAGCCGGATCTGAAAAGCGTCCGCATTGCGTAACTTTGCGCGGATTAAGGAAAATCGCGGCAGATTGTACCATCACTGACACATGCTGTATTCTGTACTGTACTCTATTCTCCAGAATTTGGATTCAAATATTGCAGTCGATTATTTAATCTTTTAAAGCATCTGAACGGTATCACTTAAAAAATCTACGAACCTTCGGGGTCTGTCCCTTGACCTTGCCAGCACGAGCCAAGGATCCATGAACTTTCCCTATTAACAAATAGAAAAATATTTTGGGGGAGAACATTAACATGAACTGGAGTTTAAAACTCGGGGAAAACTTACCTCCTTTCAACCCGACATTGAAAACAAGTGCGCCTTCTGTGATGACATCATCATCGTTGCAAGGTGCGCCTTCGCAAGTCAACAACAACTCAGCGGCATCAATCTGCGTCTTGGCCGAGATGAACTCCTAAAATTTACCAGACATTGCAGTGAAAAGGAACCTAACGCCGATGATTATTTGTTGAAAAAAAAAAAAAATTTTTTTTTCATAGCCTTGGAATGCCTTTTAACAAGACACAAGCATGATCTCTACAACGATTAATTTATCGGCAATTATCGTTATTGCGGAGGAGATTCACCCGTGAATTATTCCAGCGACACAGGTCGCGATAATTCGGGAATAAAATGAATAAAGTTAATTTTTAAAAGTATAATTAAAAGGAAAACGTTAAACAAATAATGTTGATGCAACGAAGTTTCCCAGGGAACTTTGTTGCATTCAGCAACAAGATTACTTCATTCCACTGTTCCTTTCTCATTTTGGGTTCCTTTAGAAAGATTCGGAATGTATCACTGAGGTGTCATCTTATTCCAACAATTTTTCACTCCACTAGGATCAGCCACCACATCTTTTTCCAGTTGGATTTGACGGGCGTTCTTGTAAATGCTTGTAGCTAATTTGTACTAAACTACCAATCCCAATGAACAGTCATGAGGGCCAACACGTAAATCATCAAATGCTTTTCCAACGTTTTCGACGCAATCAGAAAACAAAAACTTTTCAGAATTCGTAGGAAATACAAGATGAGCTAATAGAAGATGAACGTAGAGCTACTCTTCTGCTCACCATAAATTCTCCGAGTTGTCATTTTCTTTCTTCGTTTACTTTATTATTTCAAACTCAAATCAGGCCATCGAAACCGAGCAGTTACCTTGACATGCTTGATGAGGTGATCCGGTTCCGCTTCATATAAAAAAGTATCTGTATCTCCACGGATCAGAATCTGCATGTTTGCATTGGATATCGCCTGCATCATTCAAGATTATTGATACATATCTAGATTTAGAGGACGATTCAGAACGTACCTTTCCGCGTTCACCAATACAGACAGGAAAAGGTTCTCGAAACACAAATAATGCGAACCTGCCAATTAGAAAACAAACGTCAACTCCCGCTTCTCTCTCATCCTTCAGCAAACACGTAGAGCCGAAAAGGATTTTTAAATAAAGACTTAAATGTAACTCATGATCTTTTTTACTCGTATCACACAGACAGAAAGTTGCACAGAAACTAAAATGATTCCCATGCCGTCTTGAAAACCAGACAACAGCTCTAAGGCACTCCTACTTGTACGCCGAATCATGATCGGATTGTTTTCGCCGACAGGCTGCTGAGTTGAAAAGGTTTGTCGCCTCAGGGTATCCTGCAAAACCAGCACAAGAATGCAATGCTTGAATATAAAAATGATTAATGTGAAGCGTACTTATGCAATAATGCAAATTATTTGCGGCAGACGATCAGAAGTTACTTTTTTGGAAAAGTTGCTCGGAATGTTTCCTCGTACACAAAACTATGTTAAAAGAACAATACCTGGATATGTACCCGTTTTCATATACGTCCTGGCTTCAATGGACCCTATCGGACATCCGGAACACATCTCTTCCGTACATATCGTTCGATTCGATACAGCTTTGGGCCCTCAGTGACAAAATGTATGGGCCTTCACACGAATGGAATCTTCGAACCAAAAATGATCGAGTAACGAAAATGCCATGTTACTCGATCGGTGCCTGAAGCCTTACTGCGCGCTCCGAAGCTCGTCGAACCTAGTTCAACTAGGAGTAAATCGAAGGTCTCGAACGGGTTTTTCTCATGAACGCGGCCGGAAGATGGTGGCTTTCATTTCCGCATTGAAAGAAGTTCCCAAGAATGATCCACCTGGCTCATGGCTTCGATGTGTTTTGCCTTGCTCCCCATTTCTTCTTCGAAGATATCAGAGGACGGACGATACCCTTTGAAACATCCCAATCCTGCCATTAACCCGAAAAAAGGTCAACTTCGACAAGGATCTGTTCCACGCCTCCGTCGCTCACATAAGCATACACAGTCCATAGAACTCTGAGCTGTTCAAAAATACACCGCATGCAGTATTCACACTCAAGCACACCACGTGATTCTCACGAGCTGCTGAATGTCAGATACGCAATCGATTCCGTCAGGAGAATCATCGCGATTTATTTTTCTCTAACCTACATCTACGAACAAATAAAAAAAGCTTCTCGTACGCAAACAGCGCATCTTCTTCCACGTGACAAACTTGAGAGAAAGGCTTATTCCGAAGGAGATTCTACCGAGACGCGACGAAGAGCATAAATCAGAAGGGTAAACATCAAAAGAGCAAGTGGACAACAAGGCAAGAGAACAGCGAGCGTCAAGCAGCAAATGAGAAACACGTTTTGGACAAAATATCACGAATCAGAACAGGTGGTCCCGCAAGTTCGGCGAATTTTAGGTCAGATTACTTTCTCTTGCCACCTCCGTGCTCACAGTGTATCGAAACTTGCTCATTGTATCATCAACTTTTAGTAAATGGTACTCGCTTGTATTAGAAAATGACTTCCATTCGAAGTACTTGCTCTTTCAAGACTTTCTTTTTTGAGGCAAAACTAAATACAGACAGAACTTCTTCAAGATTTATAAAACCACAGCTCAACGACAGATGTTGAAACGTAAGCAAACGCTGCAACAACAGAACACGTAGCAGAGACTGAAATTGATGCTGCAAAGACCTTTGTGCTCTCGATGACTCTGACCACTCGTCATCGGAAAACGAGCTGGTCCCTTCTCTTGGCTATGGTTTGGTCTTGAAGTGATTTCGTCAGAAGCTGCATCGCATTCTTCAACATTACGTGAGTTGATCAGCAATTCACATCTCGGTAAAAAAATTTTACTCACTTATACACGGGTGATGGAAGAAGACGATCTTTTACGCGATGAGGATGAACAAGGGAAGCCAGCTTTTAACGGCGAGTAGCACTGACGGAGGCGCCATCGTCTTCCGACACAAATCGTCGACATACAGCGGTAAGTTCGTCGACGCTTCGATCATCACTTGCTATCACCGGAATTGGTTCGGGTATCGGTTGGTAACACGGCCCCAACCACTTTTGCTCCTATAATAAGAATGCTATTAATAAATTTCCTGCATAATGGAAAAATCGATTTCATTCTATCTCCGCTAGGAAATTTTTTAACGTGCTACGTTCCTCAAAAAAAAAAAAAAAAATGAAGTGCGCCCACGTGAGTTCAATTTCAACCAAATCTGCATCGCTGCCAATGACGGCCCTGAATCGAAGAATTCCCAAATGCTAATTCTGGTACAGTACTGTACTTGTCTTCCTTCTATTAAAAGATGAAGAGCATCGGCAGGTAAAACGACATGCTCCAAGTCCTTTCTTGATTACAACTCGTAATATTATTCGTTGCCTGCATTACGAGAGCGTTTAGTAGTCATAAGGTTTTTGTCAGGTGAGTAGAAATTATCGGCAAGTTTTTTCAACCAAAATATTCTTCAACTTCTTAAAATTGTTGAAGGGTGCAGCACCTGTTCTTTACGAAGCACAAGACGCTCTTGAGCAATGCGCAGCAAACGCTCTTTGTCTATGCGGAAATCTTCTTTTATTTCTTTCTTGTCTGAAGACCTTTGACGCTTCTTGCTGCGTTCTCCTCTTCGTGAAGATATCGAGCTTCTGTGCGAGGACTTCCGTGGTGAACGAGATCGACTCCTTTCCCGACGACTTCTCAATTTTCCTGAAGATGTAGAATGCTTCTTTGGTGAGCGACTCCGCCGTCGAAGAGATGATTTCGAACTTCTCTTGGATCTTTTCTCGGAATAGTCTGAAGAACTTCTGGATTTTTTCGAGTGACTCGTCTCACTTCTACGGGGGGATTTGTCACGGGGATGAACAGATTTAACTGATTTCGCCTGCTTTTCTTTGTTTCGGTCCGTTTCAGAAGCTCGGGAACGAGAAGGACGGGATTCAGCTGTCACGTTGCAGGAACTCCTCCCTTCAATAGATTGCGAATCCTTGTTTTCGAGTTTATCATTCTTCGAATCGGTATCCGAATGATCATTCGAGACACGTTCCATACTCGAGCTCACGGGATTTCCTGGCACGGTAGAAATGCTTTCATTTCGTCCCAGCTGTACTTTTTCCACGGACAGGACTTCTTCGGGGTTCTCTGCACTTGGAAGCATTTCGGCATTCCGAACGGACACGATGTTTCCGCTATCTTCTTCTTCTTCAGAGTGTCGACGTTTCCGCTCCTTCATATCGATGTGAATGGACTCCTCCGATCGTAGCCGAATTCCATCACCATTCGGACATACAAGCTCTTCTCGTGGTTCCTTCCTCAGGCTCTGTAACAGGTCTTCGACGATCTCATTCGATGACTTGCTCAACACATATTCCGAAGTTTCATCCGCACAGTGACCAGGGGAAAAAGTTGTATCTCCATCACACATATTTCAACTGTACTCAAGACCAAAATAAATTCTGAGGACAGGAAGAGGATCTGTGAGTCAAGGAACGCACAACAAGGATGGCTACACCACCGGAAGTATTAATCACGGAGCATGCGAATCTGATCATATATTATAAGGCGCACACTTTCTGGAACTCCAACATCAATCCTTTGCACTCAATGGATCCTATTTTCATTTCGGTAGATTACAATTAGGAACTCCTGAAATCCTCTGTTCAGTCGTAATTATTTTGTACTGTACCGGATGGGAGGGACATCACATTTACTCTACCACTGTCATTAGCGGCATCTAGCGCACAAATTATCTTCTCATTCTACATATGAGAGTGCAACAATTCGCAATTAAAAATACTGTATCTTGTAAGTCTATATATAGTGATATGATCATGAAAAGAGCTGGCGAAGACCCATATCCTGTAAATTTGAAGTACACTTCCATCCAAACCTAGTCAGAGATGTAAAAAGGAACTGATACCAGCTTCACAGTCAATCAATTACGATAGAGATAATGCTGATGGGTAAGGTTCTGGAAAGATAGGTGCTGGCTAGTATAGTCGACAGAGAGATAGCGCTTAATTTAAATTTCTTAAACGTCTGACCAGAGATCATCATATAAGATTACAGTATAAGATTTTTCTTGAGATGATCTAAGCATGATGTAAGCATGTAATATTGTGGTAAACCTTGAGTCAAAGTTTCTGCTCTCGTTCAAGACCTTAATTTTTTTTGTATTAAATTATGTATGAGAAATCTTTTTCTAAAATGCCAGTTGTTTTGATGCGTCATCTGTACACGCATCGAGATAAACCATTTCCGCCATTGAGGTAGTGACATCTTTTGAATGAATGATAGTAAAGGTTATATAGCGACCTCTACGATCACGCATGCTATGCACCAATTTTAGTGAGCATGCTTGCGCTACCGCGCAAGCGCGTGCAGCACACATACTCGATACGTCTGAGGTAAAACCCATGGGCCAGTCTTATGCTGTGGATGTTCTTAATTTAGAGCAGAGAGGCTCAGATATTTGGGTTGCCTGAATTTGACTCAAACTCTGCACATTTTTTTGCTGGATTACATCCCTCAACAGCTACCTCTGTACAGTACATAGAAATGTTGCCTGTAAAAATAATATTCAAGTGAAGAAGAGAGAAGGAAGTTCCTCTCTGCTGTAGGTAATTTTTTTAATTAGCTAAATTGATGTTAAATTGGTGATAGAAATGCCCAAGAACTTTTCTTACATCAATTTTAGGGTTGGAAATATCTGTTTCTTGTAATTTGGCCTGAAATTTATTTGCAATTTTATAACAAAATGTCCCTATGTTGAGTCAGTGTCCTCCTGTTGGGCCTTTTAGATTGATTTTTTTATTAGAAAATAAGTGTCGGTATATCAAATTGTTTGCAGGTTGATGTGTCCGCATTTGAGGGTCTCACTGTATTTTTGTAGGATCCGCCAGAATGCATTGTCTTTGTTCAATGTAGGAAAAAATAATTAATTTCCCTGGATTTCCAAGCAAACATGTCCACTGAAATGATTTGATTTCCATATTGTGATACATGAGGCCCCAATTTAATTTAATTATAATGTGATGAATGCATCCCTGGCATGAATATATGTCATATGTACAGTACATGCTTTTCTAAGCATATATGCATGCGAATAACGCACCGGAAAACGAGATAAAATTATTCATTCTCAAATGTATCTCTTCAATATTTCTCCTCCCCAAGCTCATGGAAGAACCATGATCATGCAGTCACGAATACAGGATGAAAGAAAGGGAGGAAATCAAGGACACCTGCCAGCATGCATATACAAGACTCAAAGCAGCCAAATAAGGTGAACAAGTTCACTTCCCGCCAGGCGCACATAACAGGAGGAAATGAATGACCACCGCACTGGGCAGTTGACACGCTGCTGGTCAAGGCAACGATTTCCGAAACTTTCTCCCAGCAATGGTCAGATATGTGTGCTGTATATATAAGTGTATCTTGTCTGTTACAACTTCCAATTAACCGGATCGGGTTCCCGCAATCATCTTCATTATGATTAGGATCAACACCCACACATACACACGCAGCACAGATACATGCTTATAAAATCCCGGGAGGTCAACCAATAATAAGCTCTCTTTTTTGAAGCACATCTTTTCATTGATGTTAGAATCAAACATGATGACTCAAATGAGCTTAGTACAGATAATTAGTCCTAATGTGGCATTCCAACAGCAGTTACAATGATTATAGACCCCAAGATACAAATGCCCCAACACAAATGGAAAATTTGAATTTGGGGACACTTGAAACTTTAACCCTTGGGCAAAAAAGTTGGGATATTTTTGCCAAATTATATCCCCAGGAGCTTTGCAAATTAAAAAATCTGATTTTTAAACCAAGGCCCAAATTGGGAAAAAGTCCAATATTTTATTATAATCCTGCAAGCAATTTTGCCTCAAAAGTAAAAAAAGTTCCCAACTGAGGCCTTAATGGCAACCTGGGGACATTTCAGTGACCTTTTGTCAAACTGAAAGGCCCCTCCCTAAAAAAATCCCTACTTTGCTAGGAACCCTTTGCTGCTGTTGAAGGGTTAAAATTTCTGCCCAATGCCCAGACAGTAGGTCAACGCATGGATACTTTTCCAACATTTCTAGAATGAAATATAAAATTTTCATTCTTCTGAATATTTAGATATCTTGAAAACTTGAGCTTTCTATATTCACAAAAAATTAAATTGAATTTCATTATAAATTCACTCAAACTCATATTGCAGAACAGTTGCTTAATTTTTTTGTGAGTATTCTCCATCATATGTGTTGGGTAAAGCAAGACTTGTTGTTTTTTTTTTACTTTTGGGGGCCTTCTAAAGCCAGAAGATCAGAATCTGTGATTTCTTCTGCACGTTTATATAATCTGCATCTTCAAAACAATTTTTTTCATTTTTGGGGATTTTATTCCTAGTTTTTGATGAAAAAATAACCAATTAAATGAGTAAAATTCTATGGGAAATTGTGAAGATCAGGGATGCTGCCTCAACATATATATGAACTTAGTCATATTAGTTGATAAATGATTATTTACAGGTGGACTTGCTCTTTCTCTATACAACAAAATTCGAGAGTCCAGAAAACCATTTTTGTGAAGAAAATCTTTTTGTGGAGAACATCTGTATACATGTGAGGAGAACAGTACGGGACCACAACACATTTTTAATCCACAGAATATCATTGCAGACAAGATTTTTGCAGAAAGAGTCCACATGTGTAATATGCTCAGCCAGTAATCAAGTAGCTGTAGAGCATACTTTTTACTGCCTTCTTTTCTGACAATGTAATGCTTTAGTTTATGGCAACAACATTTTCCCCTCACCTTATTGTGCACTCTGCATAAAATTTGCATGAAAAAGGCCCTTTTTAGCAGTCTAATAATGGAAAGCAACTCAATTTCTTTCCTGAAAATGCAAGACAGAAATGCAGAAAATGCCTGACTGAGAAGAGTACAGCACACTGATGGAATGCACAACATAGGCATGCATCAACATGCAAAAGACTTGACTTATGGAAACTTCACAAAATTTCCAGAAAAATAGAAAAAAATATTCTGAAAATTTCGAAATCTTTACAGCAAATAGAGCTACTGCGGAATTGGAAAAGTAATGATAAAGCTCAATGTAAATTTCCTGCTACTTTTTTCAAAACAGGTCAATTTTAGGCTTCTCTTACTTGGAGCATTTTTTTCATCAGCTATGTTTAGACTTTAGAGTATAGTAGACTTAGACGTAGACTTTAGTACGTGTTCCGAGCTTCCGACTGTCTGCTTATTTTTTCCTGTTTGGATAATTTTTTTGTATGCCAATAGAGGAGAAATTCTGACCGATTTTCACCAGCTGTTTCTTCTCTACATTCTAAAGAGAATATCTGCATATCAGGACCCCACTGAAAAAATATGCAGCGTCACGAATATCCTTAATAAATTCTCCTCGGAATTTTAATTGGAGTCACTGGTAAAAATTCTCAAACTTTCGCAAAAATTAGAAGATGAGAAAAACCTGATCATCAACTGAAAATGTCCTGCAAAATCAATCCCTTACATTCTTTATCTCCCGGATATTATATAGTGCATTTGACTCGTTTTTTCTTAAAATACTGAAAATGACTTTTCTCTCCCATCGTATATATATATATATAGCAGAGCAATATTTTGATGCACAAAAACACAAATAAGTTCTGATATCACCGTTTGTAAAATATTTTTTTTAATGTCTTTCAACGCATCTTAAAAATCTCGTAACCACAGCGGCATCACCAGCAACGATTCAGCAAGTGTATACACTCAAATGTTTTTTTTTTTGTTCGAAGGGGATTTTCAATCGGTATCTATTATTATAATGCTCTGGAGGTTCGCAAACTCGATGATTCATTGCGGCCCACAATAAGACACTGCGAGTCACTTTCGCAAGGAATCCCTGATGATGCTCATATGATGTGTCTTTGTTCTCAAATCATCGATATGATGACCACATGAGACACCATCAGCAGACTGTATGATGGAAATACGGTACAAGATGTGCAAATAAGTGATGGCCTATGTCTCCAGGTGTTGCTGGGCTGCCACAGAACAGGATATGTGATGAGATTGGGACAGGAGGTGGCCCATGCTAGCACCACCACCACCACCACCACCACCACCAGCAGCAGCAGATGGCAATGGTGTAGAGGATGGTGACCCCCCACTGTCACCCCCTGCACTACTGCTACCAGTTGCATGCATGAGCAGGGCACTGCCACTGCTGGTGCTGGGTGGTGACCCAGCACCCTGATGCGCATGCTGCAACACCATGCCCTGTCGAGAATACACAGCCTGGTCATGATGGTGCTGCTGCTGCTGCTGGTGCTGCTGGTGCGCAGACACTTGGTAACCACCACCACCACTGCTGCTGTGTGGGAGGTGTTGGTGGAGGTGCTGGTGCTGCTGGTGATGAGCAGCAGATGCAGCAGCAGCAGCTGCTGCTGCTGC